CTTCTCTTTTTCCCGTGTCTAAATTACGTTTTAAGTGGACGACAGGCGTCCATAAATGTGAAATTCAGACAGATTACGCCATGAATAAACGTCATGTTGAATTTACCTTTTTTTTTATTTCGACACATCTAAAGGATTTTTCGTTTTTTGTTCTCGTGCTTCGACCAGACCGACATTTCGTGGTCATCTTTTACAACGTTAAAGGTAGCCGTAGGCACCACTTATTTATTACGGACCACTCGATCAGAGTTAAAGAGTCTTAGGGACTATGACCCTCACCTACTCTGCTGTCCACCAGCAAGAGTCACGGGGTACAGGAGCAGTCTACAGTACTATGGTCCTTACCTGTGGAACACTCTTCCGATACAGCAACGACAGCTCCTCAGTCTCAGGACTTTTAAACAGAACATTAGAAGCAGGACTTCTCAGGATTTTTAAACAGTTCATTAGGAGCAGGACTTCTTAGGACTTTTATTCAGAACATTAGGTGCTGGATTTTGACACTGTTGATGTTTAGGATGTTGTAATTTAGTAATAGTTTATGTACTGTGTATTTGTTGTGTGTACTTTTATGTGTATCCAGGATTACCTGAAAAACAGGCCGGGATGGCCTGAGTTGTAATTACTGGTTAAATAAAATAAACTGAAACTGAAACTGGCATTTCAATGATGCTTTCACTGTGTCGAATGCTAGGCCCATTCTTCCATTGTATGCGTCTATAAAGTGCAAAGTCAGAGTAGACCACAAGGGTTTGTTTCCTATTTTATTACTCCGTGAAGGAGGTCAGGACCTCCGGACGGAGTGTTGTGATCGGCTGATTTTTCATGTTCGCAGTCAAAACACTGGGTTCTCTTTGTGTAATCGGCACGCAATTTTATACGCCGTCTGCGGGCATTCCCGTCTTGATGCACGAATGTGTACTTTTGCCGTTGCTGCTTTCGCGGTCAATGTAATATTGCAGACGCACCCCTACAATTACGAGGCGAATTGGAATGGTCCAGAAAAACGCGTTGTTTGGAATAGCAGTGGGGGGGTGGAACTTCATGCAGATACGGGGTGGTTTTGATAAGTGGTTCCAGATGTTTTTGCCCATGGTTAAGAGATGGCAAGTTTTTTGGAAGATGTTCGCAGCCAAAACGCATTCTTCTGTACTTCGCATTTCTGTGTAATTTCGCATGTGGTGTGGCATTATGTCCGGGATGATGCACGTCTTTTTATTTTTACCGTAGCTGTTTTGATATTGGAGTAAATGCTTATTTTCAAAACATCCCCATTTCTTTGAAATGTTTTCGTCCGTTTATGCAACTGTTACTAATTGCAGGGACTGCGCTAATGCCGACCAGTCGCGCTGTCCTGATACACCGCGAATGTGCGAGTGTTCCCTGTAGACAGTCCCGGGAGTCATTTTTTTCGCACATTCCAGGAGCCAAACCAAAATACGTTCATGAACCGAGTCCAAAAAACCGAAACGTGAAAATCGGATGATCGGACCTGATGTGCATTTCTCTTTCTGTAGATTGTACACACAATACACACATCTTTAGATAATCTCGCCATGGCAGGTTTAAAAAAAGTAACCCTGAATCATACTAGATTAGCGTAAATGCATGTTAATGCGTTCAAAACAAGAAAAGAAATTCTTTCCGGGTATTAATCTCTTGAATCACGGCGCTGAATATTGACGCAAAAATATTTCGGGCATCGCGCGCCCTTCCCCGTTGTTTAGACTGTATGCAAATCCCGCGTCACGTGTCGGCATCTCGCATCTCTGATTGGTTGTTGCGTCTTAAGATGACTGAGCCGACGCGCGTTTAAACAATTTTTCTTTGTTCGATTTATCACACTTCACAGAGAATTGTCGCCAATGGCTACTTCTTTTTGTTGCAATATATGATACTTCACGGAGAATTGTCACCTATGGCTTCTTGTTTTATTTTATTTTAATGTCATAGTACTATGATACCATTGTTGTGTGGGGAAACTGTTGTAGATAGCCAGGATTGCTGGCGCGGAACAAGTTGCCAGTTCAAAGTTTACATGCATCGTGCATCATGCGTGTGCTATGAGTATGAGTATGGCTCAGTACATGGACATGCGGCATAAGTTAATTAACGAAGAACCTAAGTCTATATAACAATTACTGCAACCAGTGCAGCTAGTGTAGGGTATTCCTGACAAGTCATATCCAGGTTATACTTAGCATTTCCATTCATGTGCACACATCTTAATCATTTCCGTGGTGTATGCAAATATGTGTATACAATTCGAGCTTTATCAATATGCATTACTGATGCGCATGCTGTTTATAACACCTTATTGTTTCCGGAACCATGTATATGTCTTTAACAATTTATGTATTTTCACATTAATTCATATGTGTGCATGTTTTCGAACAGTATGAATATGATGAAAGTGACTGGGTAAACTCTGTAGAAATACTCTCCCTAGCACCCGTGAAATAAACAGTTAGAAAATTCCTTCGTTCGTATTATTAGGGTCTTAGGGGGAGGTACTCTTTCTTCGCTACCAGATAGGAGGAGCTTTAATTAGCGGGGCTAAATCGCAAGGGTCTGTAGTGATAGCCTTTCAGCGCTCTGATGACGTCAATGCGACAGTAATTGTCCCAGGTGAGGCCAGATCACTGTAAGGTTATTAACCCACGGGGAAGGACACAGACAAACATGCACACCGTGATTAAAAGATGCTAGCTATTATATAGAACGATGAAGAAGGGTATTGATTTCGGAGATATAAATTTAATCAAGGAGGTTACAGGGAGACTATTACCTCCGTTCTTCAATGAACATACACACAAAATATAAAAAAAGATATACATGCATCAGTTTGGAAAAGAATAAAATGCATTAACTAGAATTTCAGGGATTTGCATGAATCATACATATTTGAATACATCAATACAACCGCAAACATCAAGATTTGCACACATTAATGGCATTTACTGTCTAGTACGGAGAACAAACATACTAGTAGTAGTCAGGGGAGTGTCTTTTTGTTTTGTTCCATTTGTTAGTTGAAACGCATCCTTGATTGACGTCTGTTTTTCTTTCGTGTCCAAACAGTAGTTGTGAAGAGGAATGGGCGGTTGGTAGTACTTCGGGTTCATCTCAGTGCCAGGCGTGAAAGTTCCACCCAGAGACGAGAAAGGACCAACATGTCGTCATCATACACCGTCTGTCAGGGAGGGGGGATAGCAGACTTCAGCTGCAACAGTTCAATTCATTTAAAGTCACAAAAAATATCAAAGAAAGGAACAATCAATACATGTATCTGAGTATCCTGTCATGTCATGTCAAAGGCATATCTGTATAATGTCCTTGATGTGCGTCTATACTAATTGGGTGGTTGGGTCACACAGTGAGCCATTTAACTTCAGGTATTTTCCGATGTCTAACTCCTCTTGACTTGATCTATGTCTATGTATTCAGTAGATAGTTGGGTGTGCCGGTAGACAATGATGACCTAATGTCTATCGTAAGGTCTGCATACGCGTACGGTAAAACATATGAACAGCGTTGATTCAAGTACATGTACTGACTTGCAGAAAAATGTATCATTACGTTTGTTCTACTAGTACATGTATAAATATCAATAATTATTTTTCTCTGACGATGACAGCAAATCTTACTCGGGAGAAAATATACCACATCGTACTATATTTGAATGTGCCGTTCATATTTTCTTACTTCTCTAGTTCGAACACAGGCGACCTTTTATTTGGTTTTGTAGAAGCCCGCCGTCTAGTTAACATTTAGGACACACACTCAACAGGCAACACAACTGAAATCATCACAAATCCCATAAAATATGAGTACGTGACCTTAAAAGCCAATGCAGTTACCTTCAGCTTGCCTGTGTGGTGTTAGCCCTTCTAGTTCGTCAAGATCATCATCAATACCATCACCATGAAGACGGAACCAAGCATGGCGAGTAGAGCCACCTCGAGGTTCTTTCTTGATCCCTCTTCACTCGCCGACGCCATGTCTGTGTTCCAAGTAGGCACAAACTATCCACAAAACTGTCGGAGTGTTATCTTTCGTCAACTACCAGGCCTTGTCGGACAAATGAACTTAACTAGTATTAACGATTTGGGTGTGCCAAAACTGGGCCAGTGACATTTGACGTCCCACATCACGTGCACACACTGAGTCACTCCTGTCCTGGCAACAGGTAAATGATGGGGGTGGGGGTGGTGGTGGTCCCCCACCGTGTGCGTATTTTGTGACACAGGGACGTTTTAAATGTAAGGAGACTGATAAAATTTGGAAATGATAAAACCATTGAATGATGTTTTGAGGTCAGCGGTAGACCAACACCAACAAAGATGTGCTACAGTTACCATTCAAGGTCGTGCCCAACCAACTCGAAATTCATATCATGTGGCGATGTTGTGTCGCCTCGAGGCAAGGCAGACAACTTCGCGGCAGGGCAGCGAATATCTTACCGCACAATGACCTGATTCACCTCCCGGGGCATACGTGCGTGTGTAATTGAGTATGGCGTAATCGTAACAAAATCAGTACACAGCAACCTACAGAACCAGTAGGTACGTACACTATGTACCCACAACCGTCGTAAACAACTCTCTACATAACATCAATGAGATGACGGCCCCAGGTACAATAGATGGAACAGGCAATGCCGTCTCGACCTTGTGACACAGTGACTACAGTGCGTGTCCTTCTGACATCTTTTGATTGATAGTAATTATAATGATGATGGTTTAGAGCCATTTATAGCTTTTAAGCATCACCTTTGAGCTGTTATTTACTGGACCGATTATGTCGGAAACAAAAGACTCTTCTGCATCTGGGTATCAACTTTGAGTTGCGTCGTAGGTTGCTACTGACAACGTGATCAGTAACGACAGGATTTAACGATATGTGGCCTCTCATTTCTCAGTGGTGGGCTATTACATAGACAGGAGATGCAAGTCTTGAAAACAACAGCAAAAATGAACCCTAGGTTTACTGTCATTAAACTGTCATTAAAAGTGACAACAACCAGGTGGACGGCAGACACACTGACAGACATACAATTACCGCATTTATTAATTAATAGCCGGGCATTTAGACTTCAAGGAAGAAGAAATCGGAGTAGTCTTGTATGAAATACAGGTGGAGGAAATGTTGCTACAGAAAGGAAGCATAAACTCAGATTTTGCAAACTTTTAAAAGGGACTAACAATTCCACAGGGTTAACTCTACAAGTTGATTGCTCTATATCCTGATCCCGGCACTGTTCCTATTGATGTGGTTTGCTGCTCGGTCTCCTTAGTTCCCGTCCGGGTTCCCGTAGCCGGGGTAGTTGGGAGGGCAGGGCGTGGTGCACGTGATGAGGACGTCGTCTCCGTACCTGCAGGTGTTCACCTGTGAGGTGTAAAATATGATGTTACAGGTTAAGTATTTCTCCTTAAGGCTGTTCTACTATTATCTGAGCTGTTGGAATCGGTGACCATGACATTTCACATGCAGTCAAAAGGACGAGGCTTGACCTAAAATGTAATGTATCGTGTGACCTATACAATACGTGCGGTATGATATCAAGACCTTCGAGTTTGGAGTGAACACATTGGTTCTGTTGTGTTAGAACTGAGTAGGACTATAGAGTGGCTCACCGCATTCTCGTCGCACACCGCCGGCGGTTCACCCTCACACTTCCACGGCTCAAAGTCGTTCAGGTCGTCATTCTGTGTGGGGTTTCGGACCCATTCTATAGCCTGGCTGATGGTCACCAGCCACACGTGGTCCATGTCCATGATGTCATTAAAGAACCTGGGCAAAAACAAAACAATTTTACTGCACTCATACATACCAGGCTTGAACGTTAATGAACCAAGAAAAGGAATTTCGACAGAGTCTGAAGTTACACCAAGTGACAGTACGGCACCTGCGCGTGGCCTCGAAGGTAATGTCTGGAGAAGCCTCGAACCAGGCTGCAGTGAGGGGCACATGAAAGGGGGCCCTGTTGCTGTTGTAGTGCTGGTCAAAGTTGGACTTCAGTAGGAGGTAGGCGGCCTCCTCCGAGCCAGGCTTGGCGCAGCCGGCGAGCTCATTGCACGGGTTCCCGTTCTCGTCCTGCAGATCGACGATCGGCACCTCCCAGAAGCCTGGGTACGAGGCTGTGGGACATGGCGGGATGGCGCACTCCTGGATGGTGTCGTAGTCCAGAGTGTACGGCCACATGGGCGGGCGCATGAACATGCGGGTAGGGCGGGTCGTGTCGTAGGTTAGCTTCAGAGTCCCCGCAAGAACTTCGAACTCCGTGTCACCTCCGTTCTGTGGACACGGGTAGATTCACATGTAAGATATAAAGGAACGTTATACTATTGAATGGAGACGAAATGTAGTACGTGGACCAAAAAATCTAAAGGGACTTTAGATGGAGATGGATGGACTACCTTGGATATCTTTATCCGTATCATGTAGTAGTCCTATAGGCTCTGACTTAAAGGAGGGTACAGTCCTCGTCAATGGCTATGTGGATCAATGTGGATCTATGCTCCATCTCGGCAGAGAAAAGTGTCTCATAAAGCTGATCCCCTGACCTGTAAATAAGGAGCACGGAAGCCCTTGACGTCGTCAGCAGGAACCTGTCCCCACTTGGCCAGGATCTCCCGCATCCCGCCCACCTCGTTCTCCCACTCCGTGGAGTTAGCCTCTGCCCACCAGGACGCCGGGCCGCGCCGGGTGATGGAGTTATCGGCGATCTCGTGCCGCAACGAGTGCATGGTCTGCACCTGGGTAGGCGGGAACAATCAAGGAGAAAATTCACTTAGATGTACCTTACCTTTTTCCTTTTCCACAAACGTGAAGAACGAAGATAAAGAACGAATAGAGGGTCTCATTGGGGTTTTGTTACTTAACTTGATACTAAATTCAATTTGACAGACCGTTGTGTCATGTATGTATTTACACAGTCATATGTACAGAGTCATATTTGGGGGCTAAAATCAATGTAGCAAAAATAACGGGCTCGTCCGGGAGTCGAACCCGGGACCTCTCGCACCCTAAGCGAGAATCATGCCACTAGACCAACGAGCCGCACATATTTCCACTAGGTATCTTGGTTCCTTTATCAAGCAGCAACATGTGTTAGCGATTTTACCTTCCTGGCGCAGAGTGGAAGGTATCAGCTGGCGCAATGTTGTTGCACTTCTCGTGCAATCCGCTAGGACTCGTGACCAAGGTTCGCGTAACAGAAATAGTTTGCCAATACAGTATTATTGGCATATATCTCAAATGAATAAAGCCTTTTACGTAGTTGCATCGTCTTTCGTTATGAATTAACAATAGTGTAGTCTTTCATTTGTGTCATTCTACACGATGGATTATCTCCCTACTGGAAACTTGTCGCAAGCACTTATAATAGTTTATAATTTATATATAGACATTTTTTAAAAGTTTTGAAAATCGATCTATGACTAATGTTGATGCGTTCTTCTTAGTTCAATAGGGTAACGTTTAATTTTTGTCAGTATTTTTGTGTAAAATCTACTGGTGACGTAGTGATTTCCGCATTATCTGCGCTGATACCAATATTTATGTCACCAGCTCACAGACCTGTCATGGTGGTAAGGATCTTAGTTCTTACACAACTTTATAAAGAAACAGCCTACGTACCTCATAGTAGTTGGTGTAGGGATGTGACACGAACACGGTGAAGGTGGGCAGACAGCCGTTCGGGTTGGTCTTGTTGGGGTTGAAGAGTTTGGAGTAGTAGTTGAAGTCCAGGTCCTGCCGGATGGCGTCTGTCAGCGTCACCAGCACGATCTGCGGCACGTTGGCGGGGTTCAGGTTCCCCGGCACGGTCGTCCCGCTACAGAAACAGTCGGGCAGCTGACATTCTGTCTCAGTGCAGGGCGCGCACAGCCCGCCAGCGGACAGAAGGAGCACGCATGTAACCGCAGGCCAGACACCCATACTTACTGTCCGGTAATACTGACTGACGACCTGGGTACGAGACAAGCGCGTGATTATTTGATCATCATCTGATGTTTATCCGACCAATGTCCGCTATATCAGGGGTCAGATCATAGGCACGTAGATCGATTAGAAGTTTCTAGTATTGCCATATAAATATGTGACAAATCTAGATCTTTCTGACATTATACATGTATGTTGTTAGATCAGTTTGATATCTTAAGTTCACTCTGTTGTGGTGAATCTTTGTATGATGTAATACAAATTTTAGCAAAACGTCTTAGTGCGATTACGTCGTTCAGACAATCTACGTCACATGACTACTATACGCCCGTCAGAGAACAAGATAGAACCTGCCCGAAATGAATGACGAAAGTTTCTCCCACATACACCTGTGCCTGTGTCTGAAGTCCACACTGACAAACATCGAGTTTATCACGTTATGTACACATGGACTGTAGGTAATGGTGTGGTTACAAGCCTCGGTTATTTCAACATGAGATTCTATCCGGTGAGGTGTGTATGAAAATGTACTGAAAGAAATCATCCAGCACAATTTGTTTGAATAATATAAACATACAATACTCAATACTGTATGAAAGAGATGGCAAGATAAAGATGTAGTTGTAGAAACGTACAACAATAGTCATTCAATGGTAGATCATTCTAGGATGTCTTTATTTGGTCAGTCTTAATCAACATGGCGGGGCTGTGCCCATTGACACGTTTGTTTCTTATGGCAGTTATGTTCCATACAACACACGACAGAAGTCCACGTATAATACTACAAATACGATTGGACAGAACCACGGAATAACCACTGTAGCTAGTGCTATAGAATAAAGGTGGGACAGAAAAGGTCATTCATTCGTTAAGATCAATACATTTTTGACATCAAGAAAAATCAATCCACTCCGTCAATAGTTTCATCAGGTTGGTAAGTCACTAGATAAAAGGTTTCTTCGAAGAAATGATTTGTCTCTTATGTAGATTGCTATTTGTTCGAAAATATGACGTACCAAGGTTACATGTATCAGTACTTACGTCACTGGACAAGACACAACACGTTTGTTATTCGTTCTTTTCAGCGTTTGGCTAACGCTACATTGAACGCTGTCTTGTTTGCACCATAAATCATTTCATTTTCAAACAAGATATTAGGCTACTTTGAATCCTTTTTCATCTCTTTTACTACATTTCCCCCTTCCCTTGTTACATCTACATCAATCTGGAATAAGTGAAATAAAGTTGTAAACAAAGTCTTAAATTAGCTATAAAAACCTCTCCCTAGAAATCCATAAAAACTTTTCATTGTTTCTTACAATGTTGACTACATCAACCTCAAACATATGCTGCGCATGCGATTCATACATTGGTATAGGCTATTAAAATGCGGGAACAACTGCATGTCCTGATCAGGAAGCTGTTCGGGAATATCATTACGATTCCATGGAAATTTCCTGTGTCATACAAACGAACTATACATTTATCGTCACTATGTTGAACATCATACAAATCAAATCACTAACAGTATAAAGGATTGTAGGTAATGTCCTCTCGGACAATTTTACATAAATGCAGAGGCCTAGTTGATAAAGACGTAGCCTGTATGTTCATGCTTTAATAGGAAAGGTTTCTGCTCCTGTCTGCTGCAGTTTTGTTCACATCCGCTGAGTGGGAGTGGTGCAAAATGTTCTAAACATTCGCTACAAGTCAATCTGTGTTGCAAGTCACGCTGGGAAAAAGACAGCTCGTGATGACACCCTCAATAAATATTGAAACAATACACGAAAGAAATCAAAGCTGCCGCACTGAAGTTCCTATGATATAATCCCATTTTTAATTGGCAAGATAAAGCCAACGATAAATATCTATCAAGTCAGATTAGTAACGGCGATGAAGTCGAACGTTGGTCTTGGGTTTGTTTAATTGAAGCTCGAGGTCGTTTCGGTTGTCGTGGCGTCACTGTGAGGTCATCATCTGCATTTGACGGAGAATCAAGCTGTAAATTTCATGCAGTTCACACGAAATACAGATGTCTTTATTCTGTTCAAGCCAGGTTATTTTTCCGCACATTCATTCAACAACAGTGATCACACAACCACGACACAACGGACAACGCCATGCAATAGCAATAGCATAGTTACTTATATAATCCATAACCTTATTCTCTTAAAAAAGCAATCACATTACACAGTTGTCTCTCACACTGTGATGAAGATAATACGTGATAGCCTATTTTTCACCTTCTAAATCTTCCCTCCAGGGCCGAACAGATCTCGATAACATGGCTTCTCACAGTATGGCTTTCCGTCATGCTTAAGGGACAGAAGAAAGAGGTAGATTATAAGAAGATCTGTTGTGTACGGAGTTACATGTACCGATACAATGGAAAAGTGTACATATACGTATGTAACTGAAAGGCTCTGACAGTAAGACGTGATTTTTGGTGACATCAAGCAACACTAATGTCTACTAAAACTGCATGTACTTAAATGACCTTGCAGCCAGGATCTTAGTGACGACTATGCGCCTCGGCACCAGCAGAGATGTTTTAAACCTGATAAACGTACAGTCTGGCTCGGGGCGCCGCTGTAATTCCACATCTACGGCACTTCATTTCACTTCAATCTCCTTGTAGAATAAGATGTCTTCTTAGCTAAATCCCCTCTACGCGTCATTATCTAGTGAGCCCTCGTTACGTACATGCCTTGTAACCTGTGACTGATTACTGTAGGGCGATGAGTATGTCTGGTGTTTCATCAGACGTAAGCGTGCTGGGATCACATATGAACTTGGAAAGTACGTGAAAAACTCTTGTAATGTAGAATAAACAAATGATGTCTGCTTGTCTTAGGTTCTGATTGAATGAGTCGTATCAATATGTAGATAATCTATGACAAATATAACTAATTAAACGCATAACCAGATAATTAGTGTAGATCTATCCAAACGTCCGTCTGACACTGTCGTATTTCATAATTTATCCTCCTATCTCAGCCATGCTCACCTCCGCATGTCTTCCCTGCTGTAGTACTTTATTGCACTTCTCACACCGCAGGCAGGCCCGGTGCCAGTCCTTCCCCAGGGAATGGAATCGCTCCGCTGGAAAAACAAGTACGCATGTACGTGTGAACATCACTGGGGAGACGGGTATGTTGATGGAGAGAGCTGACGTGATAGTGTACTGGAGAATGGTGAAAAAGGCATCAGATTCCTATTGGAATCCTATCTTATTACAGAATCAATTTTCATCGATGAAATAATTAGGTGCGGTTGAATACACTCATGTTCTATCATTTTAGTCTCTTTACCTTTACCTTTACCTGGCCCCATCCTTGTGTTTGAAGATCTGGGACCATGTTACTTTCTAGCACCAGTCTCCTCCATTGCAACGTACATCCTATTGCAGTACCTCTGATATATGACAGCATCAAAGTGTCGTTAATTTCTATCGACAATAGCCCTCCCACTTGTGACCATTTTAATCCCTCTTTCGCAGTTTTCTATGAATCAAACGGAATTTGATTTTGATAGCCAAAATTACATGTTTATGGACCGACTACAAATTTGAATCCGTAGTCATGAATATGCCCACCTCGTCTCTTCCTCTAGTTGATTGCTTTTGCAAGTGGCAATTAAGGTTTCTATTCAGCCGTTGATATGTCTGGTCGATAAACAGCAGACGTTTGATCACCGCGGTGAAACTGCTAAACGTTTTTACATGTGGATGGAGCCGTCCATCATGGGACAGGTCGTGACGTAACGACCCCTGACACAAAGACTGCACGGGGACTCAAATATCAAACGGGTGGTCGAAAAGGGTATAAAATGCTGAGTGTGGCGCTTTGTAATTTAATCATTCCGTCGCCGCAGCATCCCACAGCCGCACCGTAATACTCGCCTTGAGACTCTGAGTCATCGTAATCTATCTCCACCCATCCTAGCGGCTACACCAGCTGCAGTACACTTATATCAGTATGGTTTCATCATCACTTTCTCTACTTTCTTTTCAGCTCATCAAATATGAGGAAGAATTGCACATGAATGGTGTTTATAAGAAATCACCTGATGATAGTCATGTTGAGAATGAAAACCAAACAGCAGAGTTAGGAAGGGCATTACCTCTCCTGTCTGTCATCGATCACTTCCGTTATATAATGAGATTTTTCCACACGACAAAGACATAATAAACACGGACCCCTGTAGGGGTGCTGAGGTTAAGGTAAATGCAAGTATAGTTTCTGACTCCGATGGTTAATCAGATTCGAAGCATTGAATTAAAGCTGACTTTGAAGCTAACCTTGAGGAAATTTTGCAAATGCAGAAGTCAGCAGACGCATTTGGATGATCGAACAAAAAATTCTGTTCACATGGACACTTTCGAAGTTCCGATGTGTATCCTTGCGTGCAGGTTACGCTTATTCAACGTTACACTCAAATCCGTCATGTGTTAAATCGGGTAGAGAAACCAATGCACTCTTCATGCAAGTACATGCATCCCGTATGCACAATGCACATGTGATATCGACTCGACGGGATCGTACCGGTAGGATTTGTGAGAGATTCCAATCACAAAGGTGCACGCCATCTGCCACCCGGATCAAACGTACTCACGGCACTTTCCACTCGGAGTCCTGACTGTCAGTGAATGAAGGTCAGAGTGGCGCACATTTCATATCTAACGTCTCATCTCAAACCTTTCATTAGAGGCTTGAGATCGGTGTCAGCTGGTTCCGTCTATTCATCATGAGATGAATGCTATCATACCCACAACAATACATTACACCACAGATGTGCGTCTTTGAGCTTTTGTTGTCTCACATCCCTTCCATCATATGCTGGTTGATATCGTTCAGGAAATCTAGTTTTGCATGATTTCCCGACCGTAAGCTGTACAGTTCCTCACGTACAAAAGATATGGACCAATCACTGCGACGATTACGTGGGACTCAGCTGTGACCTATGCCAGGGGCATGGTTTTGAGCCGTCTGCTCATGGAAGCTAATTGTTGGACTGCGTTTCTGGTATTCGGGAGACGAGATTTTGAAGCCCAACGTTATAAGCTACTTTGCTATGAGACAGCAGTTTATGGACCTTTGAATAGATAATAATCATCTGTCAATAACTGCTAACTGAGGGATGGCTGCCTGCCAAATTCCCACTCGAGGTTATTTCGTGGTGTAGAGTTGATATACGCATTTGAGGGACATGGCGGTCATGCGGCTTTCTACACTCAGACAATGATTGCATTTCAGCTGTTAGTACTTCCGCTGTTCAATACGGTTGTAGTGGGCGCCTGTACACTTACATGCTTGAAATCATTGTACTCTAGTATATTTATTGTGCACGGAGGATCTCTTACTACGAGATCGATGATACTATATTGTAGGCACTCTACAGACCCTTTTTAAATTGCGTTCTTAGCAAGCTCTTCGGTCACATCTGCACATTTGCCCTCCACAAATGTCAGAGGATTACTCTGGACATGACGTCATTGTGTGGGCGATGGTCAAAATGGCCCCATCCTTGGTGCTACTTTGCCTTCAGTATGGCACTGGATATTTACCATTTAGTTACAGAAATACCTAGCAAATCGCTGGTCATTAAACACATATGGAGGAACTGGTTTCTTTCACGAGTCGTCACGACTGCACAAAGTGCACACATGTTAACAGGGGAAAGATGAGGCAATTAGGGAAATGTATGATAATTGGCCGTGCTTGATTACTACTCTCAGTATATGATCTTTTTGTTTCGTGAAGCAGAACAGATTTATCTCCGGGGAGCCGTCGTAAAGGACACGTAGGAGCTGTACAAAAGACGACAACTCTACAAAACAATTATCATAGACACAGCTAACGTATCTAATCAGGATGGGCATGACATCGTGAGAAATACAATTTCTATAACTCTATAGGGATGTTTCACGTACATGTACATACTATAACAAGAGACGTCCTCTGTGAAGCTGATGTCCTAACGTATGGTGATAATCATCGATCCTTTTCTGTTTGAGGGACAATTCTGAAGAATAATTGATGAGACGTGCGTTCCCAATGCCATCAATCACCTAATGATCACAGATGCAGGTTCAACTACTGTAGCACAAGGTGTGTCCTAGCCTGTCCTTCGTGTTTTTGTCGATCCGACTACACTGGGCATCCTCTAGGGACGAAAGGGAGAAATCTCATCTAATGGCTTTAGATCTGATGCAAAACTGACTCTGGTGGACTAGGCGTAATTTTGCCCTTATCTCCGTATGCAGTCGGGATCTATACCTTTCCATTTCCGTAATAGTCTGTTGGTTGCTGTAGTCCTGTAAAGGGTGATACATTTCCTAGCGATATTCATGTATGTGTCCATGGTCGATAGTTACAGAGGGTTGCCTTTTCTTCCATAACTCATCAGAGAGCGGTATGCACGTATTATCTGTATAAGGACCACATAGTGGGACACGCCACATGTTATTGTCCTTGGTTTCCGGAGTGGCCTTGACTTGTATAATAACAGCTACATTCCTGTGTTACACTTATCTATACTACACAAGACTTCGTTTGGTCAAATCTTGGCTCGCTTCTCAGGGAATCGCTTTGAAGAATGAGAGATAAATTTTATGGCTTTTATTGCATCAAATGTAGGTCATCCACAGCTATTCACTGCAGCAATTATAACTAAACTGCTCCTTTACAATCTTATATATAGAGATTCGTAGATGTTTCTGCACTCAATGGCAAAGGAAATCGTATCTGTTGGATTTATTAATATGACCTGATTCATAATCCATGCATATCCCGTCCTGAGAAATTTCCGGTATACAGCAGTCCGGTACATACCAGTCAAGAAATCAATTAGGCGGTGCGAAGGTGGCCAGTCTGAATATGTAGGCCCGTACCGAATGGTCAGGCCTGACAAAAGAGCTTTTGTTGCCCAGTTATTTATACGAATTCTTTACTTCTTGTCACTAACAAGAAACCACAGAACATGTACTAAAGACTAACTGGTCACGAGAACGTCAACGTCAACGTAGATCACATGACGGCCTTGGTGTGATGGGTGGGGAACAGAATGATCATGGCAGCGGGAAAATCTCTGTTTCTCTAACGACTGCCGGAAAGCTGTACATCGGCACGGATGGTTTTTACATGAACCCTGTGATCTGAGTTAGATTGAGCACACAAATTGAAAACCACAATATGCGAATCAATGCTTATTACAGAGACGGTACGTCAATGTACTTACCAAAATACACCGGCTTCTCGCATTTCGGACAGTTTGGCATCTTGGGGAGGAATGAAAATTACGGGACGTCCTCCAAACGAGTGGCGGATGCTCTTTTCCCAGCGTTGTTTTGAAACCCGTCTTTGTATAGGTGTGTATTGTTACATGTGATCGCCTGGACCGGGCCTCAATTCCCCAAGTAATTACCAGTTGTGCACACGGCCCTACACTAACATACATTTTGAACCACACCGAGGCGGGTGTTATGCACATCGCCCTTTTACATGGAAGTAGAAGCGCCATCTGTCACATTCTATTAAAACTGAAGGAAGCAAAATAGTTGACAGCCAGATTTTCACAAAACGGACACTAAAAAGTATCTCCAGCTGAAACCCCATCAAGAGCCTCTGTAACTCCAGCTGTTGCTTATCGGCCACCTGACAAAACGGCCGATTGCGTTGTTAATTGTATGGGTTTCAGAAGAGGTCATGATCCAGCAGGAAAGATCGTTGTCTGCGGCTGCGTTTTTTTGCGACCCACCGTCACTGTTTTGGCTCTTATTGGATTTCCACTTTGATACACGCATAATTGATTGTGCAGTCGTTCTGTTTATTGACATATGCAGTGCATATAAGTGAAAAACCCGGAGTAAAGAGTTGCAGATTGAGGAAATGAAGCTTGATTTAATTGTACATAGAGTGTTTACCAAATCTACCAGTTCTTGTTTATTTGTGTATCCCTTCCGTTTTATCATTGAATTATACATAAAGGGGGCACACCCCAGTTTATTTTGGGTCTCACCCTTAACTCTAGCGACCGTCTGTTTCAGGAAATAATTCTTAAGCCAAAACACTGTGTTTGCAAATGAAGGATATCCCTCTAGCTACGAGAAAAATACAATTTCAATTTCTTCAAACCTATGTAAGGAAATACAATATTATGGTAAGACAATATTATTGTAACGTGATCAGTTGAGATGATGGCAAAGGTCAAGATCTACATTACAGACGCTTCTTGTCCATCAGCTCAACGTACAAGAATGATTTGCCGAGAAAGAGCATGAAAGACAAAATCTACTTTGTCAGCAGCAAAAAAAGCAGCATCATGACATGGACAGTCTGTCATCTGTGCGTCCCCGTCGGTACTCTCTCATGTTGCCGGGGCCTGACTCGGCGGTATCTCCTCGCCGTCGTAAGCGTAGGATCCGACTCCGCCAATATTCACACCTGAGAGAGAAATGGTATTATAAATGACGAAGGTTCGTGCCAAGAATTGTTATAAAAACGACTAATTGGGTAACATAATCGATCCCCATTTATCATGTAAAGAAAGTGTCAGGTGAGGTTCTGGATTTTGTTTTTCACTTCTGATCTTCCTTTCGGTTGTAAAACAGTCATCCGAAAGAACAAAAGGATGATTGTATACTATAGAGGTATGAAGTTGTGAAACCGTTACCTCGTGGTCCATACAGGACTCCGTAGCACTTGGTACAGTAAGGTTTTCCTTCGTGCTGAAACAAAACATGTTACATTGTATCATTCAAAATTTCAAGTACATGTAGCAAGATGAAAAGTATCGGCATATCAACTACTCAGATATCCTATCCCTTACACCAGTTTTAATTGTTGTGAACATTATTCCTGGTCCTTATACGAAAACGATGACATGTTTGTGTAGCAGCGTCATCTGTCGAAGTTGGTGTGATGTGCATAACCCATGTGTGTCCTTTTGTGCTTCGTCATCAAAAAATGATGTTTTGAACTCAACATGATAAAAATGGAGCTACCAGTATGATGTTTGTTCTCATTAATGAGTCTGAACTATTAAACTATTAAACTTAACCTGGACCTATACTAGTACCCCCTCCCTTTCACCTCCTATAATAATAAAGATGAAAACTTTGCCGCTGGAATGTGTGTTGACAGACTCACCTCGGCGTGACTGCCCGGCTGTAGAACTTTACTGCACTTCTCACAGCGGAGACAGGCTCGGTGCCAGTCCTTCCCCAGTGAACGATACCGTTCAGCTGAAAATAAATACAATACTGTGTGTAGCAACGTCACCCGTATGAAAACTCTCGTGAGCTAAAAACCTTCACTAGTGCAGATGTTCTTATTGTACCCTTTGTTAGTATTTTTCATAGATTTCAATAGTCATGAGTCGTCACAAAAGTGCAAAAATAAAAAAAGCACATTTGAAAGTTTGATCTTGATCTGCATCCGCTATGTTTGGTTGTGTTGTTTGTTATGAATCACCGCGAACGTTATGAGTAAGGTCAGTTTGTCCATCTGAACACGCACTGTATGTATGTCAAATGCAGGTACTACAACATTACCTCGGCATAGGGGCTTTAATTCGAATTCTGACATGTTCAAGTTCTGGTCAAAGAGGTCACCTATTGTTTTCGTCGACAGACTATTGATATGTGTGTGTGTGTGTGTGTGTGTGTGTGTGTGTGTGTGTGTGTGTGTGTGTGTGTGTGTGTGTGTGTGTGTGTGTGTGTGTGTGTGTGTGTGTGTACTAAGCATTCTTCGATTCTTCGTAGTAGTCTGCTTAAAGTATAACCATTGCTGGCATAACTTCTGGCACTATGTATCTTCTATACCCCGAGGGGAATTCTTTTTAACGGTGATAACAGTTTGAAAACACGGGTCATCCAGAGTAACAACGGCTGACCGTCCGTTTTGACTACGTGTAACTGTTGGTGACATGAGAACTTCACGGGAAAGGAGAGATTAGTCGTTGTGACGCATGTGGGAAAAATGGTAACAATATCGCTAGGCTGTTTCCACTATGAATACAACATAAGCCTTTCATTTAACTCGGTAAACCCTTTGACTAACCACCGTGTCTGGTAAAAAAAACTGTAATTTTCGACACTCAGGTTTTGCGTCCCTGTATATGTCCTGGTCACATCGTTCTTTTGGGGTTCCCAAGGCATATTAAATGTTCCTTATCCAATCAGCAGATCCCAGTAACTCCTTTATAGCGTCCACAAAAACTACTGGCTATGGAAAGAGATACACAGGAAGGCTCGGGAAGACATAATAGTGTACCTCCGTATGATTATCGTGACTTATAAATAAAGTTGTTATTGTGACCATGCAGTGATTGCCAGTCAAGTAATACACCAAATGAACTACATGTAGTTATGATTATGTCACGGTAACTCCCTGATAACTGTCATGACATAATCTCACAAATATGTCATATCAGCGTCTGCAGTACCAGCGGCTTCAAGCTTTGGATCAACATTTATAGAATTCTCAATAGAAGTGTGTGTTGTACCATTGACAGTTAGAGTCGTACCAAATTCGAACAAATTACTTACCAAAATATACAGCTTTATTGCACTTCGGACAGTTCGGCATCTTTGGATACAGCAGTGTCTCTTCTCGAGCCTGGGGAATGGTGAATGGTTGTCGTCTTGTCCTTCTCTACGACAGCTGCGACTGAGGTACGGACCTTATGTTATGTACTACACATCAGAGTCCACTATGGTGGGATAAAACTGTGTTTACCTGCGTCACGTCAGCGATGATGTGCACAGGGCGGGGTGAAGTGACGGATTATGTCGCACGTAAACAACTCTACAAAGGTTAGTCGTGTCAACTCGGTGGAAGTACCGGTTTGTTTGGAGGGTAAGTCTCCCTTCAGTAACAGAAGAATCAGAAGAGGCGCCCCCTATCAATAAAAAGCTGAAAGCCAGTTGGAGAGAAACACTTCCCAGTTTTTGTCATGCAGTCCGAATTCTCATACTAGTATCGCTTTCAAGGTGAAGCTTAGTTGGGCCACCTTAGCAGTCGTTATCAACAGGGAACAGAAAACTACGATGAGAACTATTTTGATTTCAAAGGAATTTGGACAGTTCTTATATGTGCTGGGGGACCATAAACGACTACAAAAATTGACAATCGAACACACACTCTGACACATGGATATCTAACTAAGGCATCTTTATTCCTACACGTTTAGTCGACCATGTACAAATAAAATTTCAACCTATAGCGAAGGGTGAGTTGACTATGCAGACAACGCGAGGATTAGTATATTTAAATTTGGGTCTAGTTCAAAGCACGCGTACGCTGACGTGTCGTTGAATAATTCCTTAAAAGACGGCACCCGATGATGACGTGACAAACATCTGTGTTCTGTTACACACACTGATCTATAAGGCATTATATTTCTCACTATACATTAATATGTTCCAAACCCACAGCCATAAAGTAATCCAAAAGTTGTCAATCTAATAAGACACCTTAAATGAGCAATGTTAGGTTCCTATTTCAGTGCTTTATGCATGAAGTAAAGATAAGTGGTACCGAGAAGCGGGTAGAACTGAGATGATCAAACTATGCATAATTTTATAAAACTGGAGGATATTCCATCAACTTGAAAATCTACATTAACAAGATTATACCCACAAGGATAGTAACTAACGCTGTACCAAAGACGTGTGAAGGTAATATAGGAGCTACAATTAGTACAAACGTTTGTCTGAGCAGAAAAAAATGAAATAATCTATATCTTTGCTTCAAAAGCGCTACTAAACTGCCGGCACAACAAACAACACGTGTACTGCAGACGTGTTTTCCTCCTCTACTTCTTGGCGTAGGAGTAGGACCCAGCGCCTCCGGTGTTCACACCTGCGCAGATGAGAGAAGTCGTCAGTTTGTCAGGTCAATAATGGTAAAGATGTAATCTCCAAGCAGATCCTTGGGGGGGGGGGGCGTATTGGACCCTCTCTGGCGACTGGATGCTGCCTGGCCAATTCAGTGATACCGTCTTTTGCCACCCTAGGATCTGCTTGGAGATTGGTCAAGATGAAGTCATACTGAACTTCAAAATATTTCATGTCTAACCGTTAGATGTCATGCACTGCAATATCAATTGTAGTTTAGTAAGCATTGGAATTGAACTTATTCGATAATGGTTGTAAATGCCGTTCGGGTGACCACTGAATTACATATAAACGTTATGGACGAAAGCACAGACATTTGCTTATCCATGACATGCCCAAAGACTGATCTCGGTGAGAAAGACCATCTATGTACCGTAAGAGGATATATGACGACGCATCAACGGCGTTTCATTTTGAAACTTTGAAATTGAAAATGAGTCAAGTGTGAGATACATGCAGTTGGACGAGGAAGTGTGAGACAGACGGGGGAACAAGTATACACCAAGCAGTCGTACATGTAAGCATGCTGATCACTTCGCTTGAGTGCACGTGCCTCCCCTATACGTCTTTAAAAATCAAACATGTCATGCATCACTTAGCATGTTGATTTTAGATGTATGTCATCTCTGGTTCCTGTATGTCATCTCTGGTTCCCAAATTCATTATCTCCGGTCGGCCGACAACTAGGCTAAACGGACGGCACCAAGACCAAATTTCGTGGTACTAGTAACTGGTGGAGTGGAGTGGGGAAATGTGCACGACACGCCACCACAAAACATGTCGTGCAACTACACTGTATGCCGCAGTGCGGCGCTTCATGCTGCCTGGTACGGCATACCTCACGGTGCCTACTTGTCTTCGTACACAAAGGCACCTGCCCCGCCAATGTTCACGCCTGATGAGAAGAGAAGGTAGACGGAAAGGCAAAGCCAAGTTTAACATTACAAGAATTCTCGGAAGAAGTACAGTTAGCATTGGCGACAGATTTAGAGAAAGGCTTTAGGTAGTGACTGAAAAAGTAAAGTTGGAAATCACTTCAGAAATTTCCCTGGAACATACGTACCCTTTGGTCCGAACAGGACTCCATAGCACGGCTGGTTACAGTACGGCTTGTTGTCATGCTGAAACAAAATAGCAACGGTAACTATGACAACGTATAATATGATCGAGATGTTGACACATACGGTAAATAGAGTTTGAAACGCTAATTAGAATGGCCATGTTAAACAATAATGGTTTGCAGCTGCTTTCTTAAACTTGGAGAAAAAACATGACGCGTTTGATATACCATTTCTTCTTCTTTTTCCACATGTAACATTTGAACTAGAAAATGAGTACATTGAAATGCTTCACCTATTGCGAAGCGAGTCTTGGACAGATGTGACGAATTGGCGTTCACGTTAAAGTGGTACGAGATGCTGGTAAATGCTGATGGCTTTGAAATAACCACCTAATCAATACCACCTCACTGCAGGCTTTATTGTTAAAATCTTCCAAGACGCCGAGTTCAATCGACGTAAGACGTCTTTTAAGCAGAACCGTTCTCTCTGCGCTCTCACAGGTGCAAAGTTTCAGCTTGGCGTGAAGTAGAATTCCTGGGTCAATTTGGCGTTACGGTTACAATTAAGGCGATGGTCTGGATTTCCTCTGTTTAATTGAGTTCAGGTTCAAGTTGACTTCCACCGTACTTGATGTTCTCTCGCGTCATGAGTTGGCTCGGTGGTAGGTAATGTTGCCCCCGTGTAAATTATTGGTGACGACTTGAAAAGGTCTTGGTCGGACTTTTGTAGTTCTCGCTCGCGATCAAATAGTTCTTGACTTAACAGAGGAACATGAGTTAAGATTGACCTCCCCGCATATGTCATGATCACTACAGACGTCAGAGGCCCGGCTGGATGTCACTATACAGATGCCCTCGGCTCTGACCTCTGTACATTCTTCCCCCTCCGCACCATCACTCCTGACTGATGGGCGATCTGCATCTGATTTGTAGCGTCATATAAGCCTCTTATAACAGGGACATTCTGGCAGCAGCTTGCTGTAAAATGCCGTCAGATCCCTTGATGTGTTTGCCCTTTTGAAAGGCCATACCTTGCCATATGACATTTCCCAGAAAGCATTTGATCTTTTGTTTTTTGCCTGTTCGAGTAAAAGACTTGTAACTTCTTTTGTCTGGAGGGAGATGAGATAGGAAATTTGAGCATACAGGTGATTATCGACATTATAGACATTATAGTGTTACGTTGGATTCGGTCAGTCGTATCAACACAACGAGTATTACTCATCATAGAACGAATATTTGAGGCACCCGAGAGGAAAATACTTTGATCCAACATTAGAGTGAAAGATAATGCCCCGGATGACACGTTCAGATACCGCATTCTTTTAGTAAGCCACTGGGCAATTAGAGCCACTTTACTCCGCCACACTGACCGTGCTGTATGGAGGGATGTGGCCCTGCCGTTGGCAAGACCACACATTCCGGACGGCGCCGCCGTCTAACTAGTTGCCTACGGCTACACCTGCGTCCTTTGGTTATCATGCAGACTGCACACCTCTCCCTGGTTAACCTTACGACCTCATTATTTCTGTTAATATACAGTCTGAAATGATAGAAAAATTTGCTTGGTGCCTCCAGCTAGTGAAGATTTAAAGATAAGGCTAGCTATAGGTGTCATAAGGAAGAATTACATACATGTACGTACAAGAAACCATGGCTTTTATGTTGTATGCCACGGGTAATACTTTCTGATGATATCAAAGACCTTTCTGACTAGGATGAATAATCTTTTGTTTGATTTGTGAACTTGCTCTTAGCTGGCGCTTACATACCATCAATCACACCGGACGTTTCCGTGGTGCACTTTGCTGGAAAATTGATGGTATTCGGAGGGATAGCTGCAGGACATAGGCCTGGTTTAGATCCGGACAAGGCAGGCATTCATGGGAGCTTAACATTCCTGGATGTAACATTGGTTGTAACTGATTCCCATTCGTATAAGAGTGGACAGCTAAAGATGCAGGGTAGATATTAAGATAGCATGTTCTCCCCACACTCTACCGAGTACTGGTAGAAGGTTTCTGGGTGGGCCCGTGTGTACGTACACATGTCACTCTCCCTGGAGTGTGTCGATAGTCCCCGCGTTAAGGCGCCAGCCAGTATTTTACAACTAGTCCTTAGCAACACGGTGCATTTTAAGACCGCATCGATTTGAAATCCTTTGCAGGATGAACGTATTTTGCGGTCTGTTCATTTTCCTTTGTAAAGACGTCAAGGTTCGATGTAAAAGCATACCGGGGACGTGTAACCCAACCCCGGGAACAGACGGTTTATGAACCTCGTACTCAACCAATTTCACGCTCAAAATCCCCTTTCGATTGTTGAACAGGTGGCTTCTGTTTAAGACATGTCATAAAAAGTTAGTGGTAAGCCTAGAATACGTATGACTTGATTATTCTGTGACTCTGTGTCTCTCACAAAATCAATTGCATGGTATGACCAAATACCTTGCAAAACAAGTATCTCATATAATTGTTATCTAATCCCGATCGATTCCTGATTACCAATGGAACGTGAAGACGATAGTTTGCAGGCCAACTGCTGAGGCTACTCCCGCCCCCACCCCCGCTCCAACTCACCCACACCACACCCAGAATGAATGGCATTGTGACGACCCGGTCTGGTCCCTCGACATTAATAGTGGAGAAGTTGTCTACAAGACATTGACAGTAAAAGTGACCTTTGACATCACCTGATAATTCAGGTATAAGAGCAACATCAGTGACTGATACTTTACTGGCAACCCTCTGTGTTGTCTGTTACAATGGATCACCCTGGTCAGGGGCTCACACACGTCACAACACGTCACTAGACACGTCGTTACAGAAACTGTCTGCCAAATCTTCGACCATCCGTGAAGATCAGACGGCTAAACATGCCCTTCATCCGGTTTGGTGAGGATCTCCTGGCGTGTGAAACTGGGATGATCGGATTTGGGAGCCAGGAGTTTGCTCTCTCTCAAAAAGTACTTATGGTGTCACGTAGCATTGATGCGATACTGTCTACGTTTTAAGATACGGGTACAGTGCACTTGTTTGAAGCTTTGGATATATAGGTACAGGGCTAGTCTAGTCCAAAAACGTACGGAATGACCCAATCTCTGGGTTATTCTTCCGCTTCTGCTTTTAAGCCTTGAGACTTATAAAGACAAGATTTGTTTACAGTATTGACTGATATTCAAGCAAGTGAATCAAGGATGACGATGAAATACGGTTTGCTTGCACGTGCATGGATTTCTATCCGAACAACAAATGTACCACTGAAAATCGGTCTGCGAAGCTACTGACGAGTGTCATGACACAACGACAAACACAGTTGTTGTGGTTAGCAGACTCAGACACACTTGAATCCTTATAAGGGATGAAACAGTTTTCTGTTCTTCCAATTAAAAGCCATGTAACCCTCATGTCTTATTTGCGTTATTTTCCACATTCTTGTCAAACCGCTGATCCCGCTTGCTGTTTACGTATATTGCGAAAGTGATTTTAGGTTAATTTAGTAATTGGCACTCTTATCGAGCTATTACTTTTGTTGTGACAAGATAAGAAAGCGGAATGGAGTAAACAGCCCCGCCCTGTTTAAGTGATAGCGAACCTGAGGCTGGCAGTCACTAGCACTGGTAGCTTATCTCGGGCCTCAAAAGATAACAGGGCAGCTGATCTGCAGTTTTAAAGGTCAGTGGGACGGATAAATCGCCAGGCTTCCAAATCACCAGACGACGACTACTTCTGCTTCTCAGTGAGGGAGTTGTCCAGATTACCACGATGCACTTGAATATGATCTTACGGTGTTTATGATATTATGAAAGATGGCGCGAGAGACCCTGATTTCAATTCACATATACAAATCTTATTTTTTTTAAATTTCTCTTTAAACCCTGTCATTTTAACACTTAGCTGGCGAGGCCGTCTTGTTTTTGCGATCTTTCTGTTCCGCTCGGAGGACAGGAGATGTGATTTCAGCGCCTTTGCGCGTCGGACCGCGACCTGCCGAAACTGAGCCGGGCCGGAGCCGACTCGGGTCAGCTGTCTGTCCGAGAGGGACAACAGACACACACTTCATCCGCTCCACTCGCGCACAGCACGCCTCCGGTTACAAAAATAGACGAAGGATGACTGAATCGCCTCCTCTTGGACACCGCGTGGCGTAACCGAATGTGAGGTATGTCTACGCGGCTCTGCCCCATCTTTATATGGATGTCTAAGACGTAAACTTAAGATGACTTCAAAAACGGAAACCCCTGGAGAGAAATTCTCTATTGGAGGTCGCAAACTTAAAGAAACACGCACAATGCACCTGTCAACGTAAATCTTGGGAGAGTATGCTAGTCTTATCAGAGAACTCGTGCAATTTTGGCAGTAAAGTCTCTCCATCTGTCACTGCTCTGACAGCAGTCCGCACACATACAAACACCTGCCAGTCTAACACCGTTATTACGCCGGGCCGAAATTTTCTCCACTGCTGAAAGGTTCCGATCAATGTGAATTCTCTTAGTATCGGACTTCGATGATCCTTTAATGAATCACGTCATGCACTTTTCCTCCTGATTCTGATTGGAAAGGAAAGGCTGGGAAAAGCTTGATCGGCAAGTTTCGGGTACTTCTCGTATATCGTGATGACTCTCTATTGTTGGTAAATCCTCAAGGAATTCAATGACCATCTCCGCGATTACTGTAATTCCTCAAGTTGGACAGTTCACTAGATTCTTTCACATTCCATCGCTAGATCCGCCAGTTCGTGTCATCTTGAGTTACTGTTATTCCGTCTCAGCAGATCTCACATGTGCACTTTTCAAGCGAGGCGTTTGACATTCTTTGTATGTTACATCACCAGTACACGGATATCATTACAATGAAAAGGTCATCATTTTCTTTTCAACCAGAGCATAATTATCATAATCAATGTGTGCTGACATTTGGCGAATCACCTTGTAATCACTCACTAAGTGTTGTTCCGGCAAAGTGATTATTTGTGACAATTTGGGTGTACTTTTCAAGTAAGTCAGCAGGTCAACAAATCAAGATCTGCTAAACCGTGCAGTTTGCGCCCCACCTGTCCATGTTGTCACAACACCTGCCCGAAAACACATTACAAAGTAACCGAACAGGTACCGCGGTGGGTGGATGTGTGACGACAGGTTAAGGATATATACTTTCCAAACAGAGGACCGACCTTGTGTGTTTACATAGATCACGGCAGCTGATATACACACTTCGCACCCACCAATTCCTGAAGGCGAATCACTGGTAAGCGACACTCGCTAAAACGTTTCGCTCCATTTCGTGGATTTCTCCCCTGCGGGGAAATTTCACTTATGAAAAAATGAAGCCAAGAAATCAAATTGTACGAACCAGATTTTCTTTCGGCGGTAATATAAGACTTCCATATAGAAACCTTTGCATTTTGTCTTTTGAGTGTGTGGTTGATTTTAATGTCGAAGGAGCCGACGTGTTTGTTCTGCTCGAAATTTCCACGGTGAAATTTCCTTGTAATGTACAACTCACCTCAGCATGTCCGCCGGGAGAGAGCGTCTTGTTACATCTCTGACACTTCAGACATCCGCGGTGCCAGTCCTTCCCGAGAGAGGTCACCTTCTCGGCTGGAAGAAGAAAAAAATCAGATCTGAATGAAATTTCAATGAACACCCAATGTGGCTAGGTTATGTACAATTATATGATGGATGTGTTCGCTGGATATGTTCCAAACTTAATCTTGCAGGCGAGTTTTCCACGAGCGAGAGATGTAAACATTGAGACAGGTTTGACACAGAAAACCTTGTTATCAAGGGCTCGTACCAGGTGAGGAAGGTTGACAACGATTCCATTGTATCAGAGATGTGCGTTTATCAAAAAAACTATTACATACATAAACTATTGCCTTCTTACTGTGGCGATATTTCGGCTGATATAGCTTTGGCAGATTTTTCGGTGCTTTGACAGAGAGCAAACCTAAATCCCAGTTATTAGGGGATTTTCTTATCGCTTCGGTCCGGTGGCCATGCGCATCTAACACCGACCCAATTATCCAGACCTCTGGTCTCACCGCTGGTCTTCCAACCAACAAAGCCAACTGTCAACATATCACACACACATGACCTGGCTTAGACAACTACGTGCCAGAAGACCGACATCATCGGAGAGGAACCAAGCCACAGACATAGCCTTTGTTGAGAAGCTCCACAGCTGAACATGCCTTTCTTGATCTTGTGACTTGGGTCAGGCCTGGTGGATCAAGAAGAGTCTTTCTGGGACGCCGCCGTGTCGTCTGGTTAAGTTCCAACTTAACTTTTTCTGTACAACTGAGAGGATCGCTTTACGAGCACGGCATTATAGGTTATTCAATTAAACAGGTTCTTCGAAAGAACAGAGAAGGCGGTAATGGTAACGGCGACAAACAAAGAGAAGCTGCCGCTAACATGTTTCCCAACTGCACGCACTCTCGGAAGTTGTTGACATTGTTTGCAGGTCCATTGAACTTGACACAACTCCTCGGTCTGTTCGCAAACTTTGATCGATGCTGCACGACTTCAACGACAATAAGGTATGATTCACCAGCGATTCATTTGCATAGAATCTCATATAACGTTACTGACTTTTACGTTCCCCCAAAAAGACATAATTGAAAATACAAAGCCGGAAAGCCTTCAGATAACGATTGACTTTATGAAAAGTTAACAAGCGTGTAATGGCGTAATGTGACAGACACCGTGGCACATCCAATTAGTATCCTGTTATCATCTTTGCCTTTTTATTTTGTGTTCAGAGGTTGACCTTGTGGTGGTACCGCAGACAGCATGCCTGCAATAATTCACTCGGTCATGGGAACCAGGATTAGTACACGATGGTATCACAGACACACAAGTCTTACTTTATTACATAGACATGGTGCGTATTAAACTTTCACTTTGTAGCATGTGGTCCCATGAAAATGAGCGTCACTTTTCAATTAACGCCGTTATACCCCATTTGGTTGTTTCAGAAGATGGGATATCATTTAATTAGTCTGCTAGTCCAAACAAACCTGGAACAGCTAAAAAGGTCATCTGGGTGCTCATGTATGACGTTACTCTGACAGAAGTTCAAGTTCGCCTGGCTGCGTTACGGGATGAATACTAAGCTTTGATTCGCCGGCCGTTCTTAAGGAGAGGCGCCTGTTCGATAATCCGTGCTTCAGAAGGGGCGAGGGTATCGCGGACCGCGACCCTTTACCATTGCACACTGGCACCCCCCACATATACACATAAGCACACACACACACACACACATACGCACACAACACGCACATGCATATACATTTTGTATCTATGAACGCGCGCGCGGATCTATTAGATTGTTTTCGGACAGGTGGCCCTCCCAAGATCTGACGAGAGGTTGTCCTGCACCTGTAATCCGGCCAGAGCTAGTGTCTAACGCGGCATTTCAAGATGCGTGATAACCCCATTGATATCGCTAATCCTGATAGGAAGAAGTACGTTATTCATTGGGGGCTTGTTGAAAAGGAAATCTCCAAGATGGAGTAACGGTAGTGTCTAGTAGTTGTCATATACATATTGTATGGAAGGGCTTCCATGCAGAACCAAGGACCTACAGAAATACCTCAGGATCGGGAGGTGATGTCGGTAAAGGTTTGTTTATAGCAGGAGAGGCTGAAAGAGGGATTTGGATTTTGGGGTTGTCAGCCTGACTGGTGCCTGAAAGTCGGACTCCACCATTTCCACTACTTACTGAGCTTTCTAAGAAATGTTGTAACGTAAATATCGCACATCCTGGTCTTTTGAAAATACGTCTACCACTAAGAGCGTTTACGAGTTTCAACGATTTGAGCCATCCTTTGTGTCAAACACCGCTCAGTACCAGGCTAACTCCATAGCAACAAGGCATGACGGAAAAGCATCAGAATCTTTGAATTCAAAGATTCCTGCCTAAGCATGGTGGAGAGAGGAAGTCGATGACATCATGTGGAATGGCGGGCATCGTACGACGCTTAATGAGAAATACAAGTGTTACTAACATAACCCGTGACTCATACATTGCCATAGCTGAGCAATCGTTCTTCTGTATAACACTCCAATCTGCAGGCAGAAAATAACAGTTGCGTAAACCATTTTGTTTCCATAACCACGATTCGATGACAAAAATCCAAGCTTTTAAAAACCCATCAGGAACATTTATAGATGAGGTAATGACACACTAGTATTCGTGTAGTTGGTTAATAACTTGCAGTGGGCGTGGCACAATTTTGTTTGTTGGATATATGGGAGGAGATCCAGGTCATTTCCGCCAACCACTAAGTAGTGGGTGGAGCCTGACTACCAACATTTGTCAACAGTGGTAAGGCATGACGACAGGAGCTTGACCTTGAGAGTGGGTGCTTACCCCCGCCCCCCACCCACTCCTCAAAAATACGGCCTGACCGAGGGCTTGGCGTCGTTTCCCAGTCTGTAGTCACGAATAAGTTTACAGTCTGTGTCATGGCTGTCTGTGGCAATTACAGATAGAGGTTTGAACTCCTGTGTATGGTGAAAGCCATACAAACAACAGTTCAGGCGCAGTACCAAAGAAAACTTCTCCAGTCTGCCTGGCATTTAACACTGTCACATTTTCCAAACCGTTCCACTACTCAAAGCGGATTGCGACATTTTTTTTCCGCAGGCCTAGGTTTGACTGGTGACATGGGTAACTGAGACTGGAAGGAAGCTCCGTATCACGGTTGTAAGGTTCCCTTAGATATGTTTAGTTTTGGCAGATTACACAAACACTAAACATGGCGCCATTCTTTGTTGCCGAGAAAAAAGAAGTAAATAAAAAAGGAACTGGAATACCTTTTCAGAGCTATATCGCTTTTTCTCACAAAGGTGGAGGAATTGGTTCTTAACTTCTTGTTTCTTTTGAAACCATGGGACCACATTGTATGTGACCGGTCAAAGGACGAAACATTGATTTGTCGTGAAAAAGTAGGGCGCTTTTCATTGAACACCTCAATTGTGAATGAAAAGTCAGAAAATGCTTAAATTGCCACACATATATGTCTATGGTAACTAAAGAAGCTTTTAATGAAAAGGCCGCAAGGTATACTCATTCCAAAGTTCGGCTATTATGTGATCTAATATCATCATTTATGCATACCACACCTAGCTACACAATAACTCTGCGACGTTATGCATCACATAGCAAATACAGCAAACATGGTGCACATCAACTACAGTATGCATGCTTGACCATAAATCCATTAACGCAATGCAGGGTCCACTTTACATTGCATTAGCACTGCCATTTTAAAATACCACGGGTTTACAGCACAACGTTTCTACAGGAAGAGAAATAAACATAGTTTATTTGAAGCATCACTACTGTTGGATGTTGTCGCTGATTCGGTGTCCTGACAACGATGACGCCACTCCGCTATGGCTGGTGGACGGTAAGGCGTTACCGACGTGGGAGGCGACACCTGGATATCCCACTACTTTGAGGCTTTGAATACTGCGCCATTCCTGGGACAAAATTACAAAAGCGTTCTGGGAAAAGTATGCGACTGTATCCAGTAAGAATGTTGCTATTCATGTCACGGACTTCAAAATTTGCTTCCACAGTCTGTCTGGTGAATAGTATTGTATGTATATATACATGGCGCCTATCCGGGAGTTCCGTTCTGATGTATCTATCCCCGATCCCGGGGCGTGTTTTTCAGCGCAGACTTGTCACAGTTAGCGATAAAGCCGCGGTCCTAATCGATGGAGCAGTGCAGGAATAGAAGGGACTTTAATTGTGCGGCGCGCTTGTCATGCTGACATACTGATAACATCGGTGTCCAGGTTTGGTAAGGCAGCCAGCCACTCTGCTTCCCGTGATATGCCATGATTGTATAAATAAGTCAGGTCCTACAGGCAGTCTCTCAGGATAACAAGTGTTTGGGATGCCTCGGAGTCGACAGGAGTGATTGTGAGATAATGACACAGACAAATTAGCGGAGCCTTGCAATGTTTACGTGATATTTACAGGATCTGACTGAATATTAATACGTAATGTTGTAAAGCTGCAACGTGTTTAGGGTCTCAAGCGCAGCCGGTTATAAATTACGCCGTAGAAGAGCACTGCAATAACCTGTAGATGGCAAAACACCCGCCCCGCCTCCATGACAAATATTGGCCCCGTAGTTGGGCGTTGTAAATTGCAGCAGTGGGACTTTGTATCGAGGTGGACATTGTGTCTCAGACAACCTATTTACGTACTATTCGAGCCGACGCCCATTACAGTTGGAACCTCGCACCAATTGTTGTCCGTTTCCTGTGTCGCATGCGGTCATAGCCATTAACGCTGTGAATTCAAATATGTTTGATACAAATGTACTGTATACTACGACTAGTACTAAACATAAACGGGCCACGTGAGCGGTACCGAATGGTCAAGCTAAGGTAATGTATTGTTTATAGCCCGCTATGAGTAACCCTACCTGTCACATGTAATATTTTTGTAGCCAAGAAAAAAATTCTAGCTTACCGAAGTAGACTTCCTTGGCGCAAGTTGGGCACTTGGGCATGTTGACACGCTGTAGTAACTTGTCAGCCTGGAGACGTGAAAAACACAGTGGTTGTTGGACTGATTTTCCGTGCGGACCTGTGGCTGGAGAGGGGCGGTGACTGCAGTGTGGCTGATCGCCTACTCGTGGGTTTGTTTTATTCCGGTTTTGCACACTGCCCTACACTAGCTACTCTGCACTCGGCACGCAACTTCATGGCACTGGTTTGAAACATTTGTTTGCTTGTTTGCGCCTTTATTATTGATGAAAATACACAATTCGGCCAACAGGCCGCTTTTCATTGTGGTCATCATGCAGGGGAGAGGTTCAAGGGTCAACAAATTACTACAAAACACATAATGCATACATCAGACTTGGATACATGATTCTGAGTCTTAATAAATCTAAACAAATATTCATCATAACGTGGTACAGCTTATATACATACATAATTAAGTAAATACATAGACGTCAAAGCAGGTAAGTAGTTCTTGTCCGTCCGTTTTTCATTCCTGGTTTCTACCTCTTTAAGAGTCTCTTAAAGGAAGCGAGGGTTGGGGCCGTGCGTATGTCCACTGGAAGACTGTTCCAGGCAGTGGGTCCGCGGTAGGCTAGGGATCTTCTAAAGCTCTCTAGATGAGGTTTAGGAACAACTAGTTTATTGCTTGTGCTTTGTCTAGTTGACCTTGTGCTTTGCTCGCTACAGTAAGCAAACATCTGGCGCATGTAGTGTGGAAGTTTGTTGTTAATGGCTTTGTAGACGAGCATGATCTCGTAGTGTTTATGCGTTGCTTTAATGTCTTTCCAGCCCAGCCGGGTAAGCACTTCGATTGATGGTGTCCTGTAAGGCGCCTTCAGTATCAGTTTTCCTGCCCGATTCTGCATTCGTTGTATCTTCTGCAGATCTTGATCTGGAGCAGTGTCCCATGCTGTGCAGGCATATGTTATGTGTGGCAGGAAAATGGCGTTATACAAAGTGCAAAGAGCTGACGTTGAGATGAAGGGGCTGACGTGTTTCATCATAAAAGAAGAACGCCTCAATTTCCCTAGTACAGCTTTCACCTGGTCCTTCCAGTTTAGTTGACGGTCGATAACCACACCTAAGTAGGTGTATTTATCACATGTTTTAATGTTGACACCATTGACAGTAAGTCTGGGAGGGTTACAGTTTGGGAGTACTACTACTACAGCACAGGCGCAAGTGGTGAGAATTGACCCAATATTTCCGCTTTAACTCCCTCAGTGTCACGGTCAGATTATGAGGCTTAGCTCCTCTGACACTGTGAGGGTTAACGCCGCCGCCCAGGGCGCCGAAATCAATGTCTCAAGAACGCCATTGATCTTTCTCTGTCAAGTGCAACTCCTAATTTAGAACGTTCTGACGTAATCCCCAACTGTTGTTTTTACTTGTACTGTATGTGTCATTACTGTTACGCAACATTACCCGACGTGGACGCTACCGGACCATATGCGACTTCAGCTATTTCTGTGCACTATGGTAAATAACTACTACAGGGACTATAGACTTAGCCCTGTGGGTCCCTGAACGCTTGTCCCCGCTCCGTTCCTCCGCTCTGCCTTCACGAAGCGTTCATGGATTCCATGCAGGCTAGTAGCCCTGCGCCATACATCTCAAAACGTCATTGGTGCAATAGGTAATCAGTGATAAATGGTGGGATCGTGGGAACACCCAACATTACCCGCGTCATGGACACATAATTACCAAGAAAGGTCAAGGTAGTACTAGTGTCACATTTGTATCATTCACAAAAGACAGCTTGAAAAGAACGACATTAACGTTCAAAGCATTTCTCCGACTACCGATTCAAAGATCTTAATCTGCTTTTCACCTCTCAGTTCAACATATCGAGGGATCATTCCCAAAAAGCGATGTTTTCGTCTATTTACGATGGATTTATCTTCCCTTTATTGAATGGAGTTGCCTCTGTAACGTGGTTACAGAACCGTTGTGTGACAAGTACGGTGAAATTTACGATCTGTAAAGTTCAAAAACATCTTGTACTATCATAAAAGGCATCCACGCACATAAGTGCGCAAACAAATTTTCACTGTAGAGCTAAACAAACAAGACAGAGTGGACCTTAACATAAGTGTTACGCCCACCCAACCCATTGTGGTTACTGTTCTACAGTGTCCCGCCCTCTAAACATATCGAGGGTGTGTGTCTCCCCGCACTCCTGCCACCTGTAAACACATACTGCTAGAATGTGGACCACGCCCAGACGAACGGTCAATGTCTTTTGGTAACATTGAAAGCTGAAATCTGTCTTTAATAGAGATGTATGAAACGTGTGTGTATATATATATATATATATATGATATCTCTGCTTATCTTGATTTTCATGTTAAGTTACTTACGTTCCAATCTATTTCACATCAGTTGAATATGTTTTGTTTTTTCACTGCAACTCGATTATGACCGATAGGTGTACATGTGTAGAATAAAGCAGTTTATGTAGACTGTATATAGCTCTGAGATGACGCCATCCTCTCAGGATGCATCACCAGTCTGTTTACGAACTGTCCATCCATGGCTAATTGGCTGTGTGGCATTTGCGTCAGTTCCTTCAGCACAATCGTCACGCCAACTGTCACGGGCCCATATACGGCACCGAGCATTTCACTCCCGCCACAAGCCCTGACATACCCTGCTACAAGGCTCCCCACAGGGCGGCACTGTTTACTAATCTAATGAGACTTTCACCAGTTGTGGATCATAACATGTAATAGATACTCCCATGTGTTTGTGTTGGGTGGTGTGTATTTGTCTCATTGGCACAACGTACTGAACAGCGAACTTCTATACAATTGTGAGACAGAGATCAGGAGATGGTGATTTTCAGTGATGAGGATGTCTTAAAGTAGTAAACTGAAGGGAAAAACAAAGAACAAACACGAGTAGTTATATTATGAGTGAATCACGTGAGTAGTATTTTGAGGTAAAACTAACGCCGTACTACTGCAAAAAGTTGAACTGTCCGTTACAGTTCTTCTGATTGGTTACCATCTCACATGTTTTTCCCATCATCATGATAAGGTAAAGTTTATCTGACTCGCTGGAGCTAATGGTATCAAACTGTTCATCTACACCGCCTGTAGGTTATGTGATATAACACGGATTCAATTTGTATCGACGCGAGAAAAGCAGCTCGGTGTCGCTTACAAAGCAAGATCAAGGAGATCTGTGGATGCCATAAGAAATGTAAATCCCCAAGATAAAAAGCTAAGGGTGTGTGTCAAGATATTATGGTACGGTATCTTATGTGACGGATGAGTACGATTTTTTAAATGTGGCTCAGTATCATCAACATACATGTATTTCAGTATTTGAAGATTGTGTTATGAGGAGGGGGAGAAGTGCTGTATGATATCGGCTAAATGGCCCAAATACTCCACCCGCACCACTATACCCACCCTAAGGCCACCAGCTACCCAAGCCTCCGCTGTGAAAGGAGGTATTGTATGGATGATAGACGAGAGTAATCGTCCTTGTCATGTCATTTCTCCCCAATCCTGATGGATGGGTGAAGAGAATATGAGCATCCATGTTAAGCACCTTAATGCTACTGACTGATGTCTGACCATTCCTTCCTACAGTCCAAACATTCCCGGACCTTTAGACGGCATCTGTTGACACGCACACCAGGACAATGTACAGCTTATCCGAAGTGTCTCAGTATGTATTCGGCAGTACGCCTACATTCACGCAGGTTGGGGGTAATAGGCTAACGAGTGACATTAATGCAATGAGTTAACATTCCTCTCTTGACGTGTATAAAATGAGAGGCAAAGGCTGAATCCTTTATTTCCAGTTGCACGTTGCCCTATTATCGTTATTGACTTTCTCAGTATGTGCTTGAATTATTGGGTTAGTGTGAGCTATATATCGATGGCATCCCTCGTTGACCACATGTAACTTACTCGAATACTAGCATGACTAGTATACTCGTACATCTTAATGTGTCACCGTTTCCACCGTCCACACTTAAACATTGATTTATAACCTAGGATTATGATTATGATAAGATAGTCAGTTGAACATTTCTGATAAAATAGATATAAAGGAATTGATTGGATATCATAAATAGATAATGTGACCTTTTTACCCATATAACCCGGCGTGAAGAGTGCAAAACAAACATTTCAGTGGGTTAGAGTCTCTCAAGTTTGACACGTGCATGCGGACCTCATGTTTGTTTTTGCTGATTGTACTGCGACGGCACTGGTAAGCGAGGATTCGCGACAATCTCTGAGGACACACTCTTCCACTACACAACTTGTATGAGGTTGAAACAATAGATATTCTCTCGTGCCAACACATGTAGCAGGCTAAGCGACACCTAGCGGTTGTAGTTATTAATTACAGTCCCTTCAGCCTGGGTGCCATCCGATTTGTAACGGCAACCCCGAACAAAAAATTTTCGGGGTTGCCGTTACAAATCGGATGGCACCCAGGCTACTACAGAATGAGAATGACAGCCTCGTACGGGAGTCGTACCCGAAGATAGCTCTTTCCCCCGGAAAAACCGCCGCGCTACCCGTCAGAACATCTAAACGTACACGTAGGGTTGGAAGATTCTACAAACAACTTTAGTAAATAGCCAACTTATTGAATACTGCCGTTTAAGTACGTAGTAATACCGTACTAGTATATCGCCAAGGATCAGAAGCGCCCCGCGGCGGCGAAAAACATCACTGCATAAATTGGAGAGGTTTGGACAACATATTGGGTGCAGTCTTTCATTGAACTGCAAGGACCGCTTTTGATCCATGCACTTCACCGTTCATGCATCTGTAGAAAGCTGCAAAAAGTTTATTGGAAAGCAGCACTGGAATGATGACGTTTTCTTCTGGCATAGGACCGCCTGAAGGTGTTAGCATACCTAGGAAATCTCTAGAGAAACTCCGGTCCGAGATCTTAGGTTTCACCTGAAGTGTCGCGGTCAAAGGTCGTCAAGAAACATGGCGTCCGTGGGTAAAACAGTTTGGTTTCTCCGGCATTCTCAGCCAGTTTTCTCCCGCCAGTTTCAACGTTTTCAGTCGTCGGTACGTACATAGTGTTATTATAATGTCATCCATGTCTAACACGAAAATAAGGGCTGTTTGAGGTCTGTATCTGCACGAACCGTGTCCTTCTGTTTCCCACAGCGCGGTTTGGTTGCTGTGTAAGCTGTGTTTACAGTGCCGACCGCTAGCCACTGTCATGCACGAATAGCTTCTAAATAGAAAATAGGATATTGCATCATATCAGCAGATCGCATACTATTTCAGCACCCAAACAGTTTGTTTTTAGCTATTATAATGCGTATCGTGCGATGGCAAACGTTATAACGTCAATTTAGCATTAGAGGGGGCGTGGTCCGGTGTTGCGTCACTTTTTTGCAAGTCATTATGAGGTGCAGTTAATGATACCAGTTTATTATGTGCCGCTATTACTGCTACTTATGACAATCTATGTCATGATTCATAATTTGGACTGAATATTCAAATTGAATATAACGTTACCTGTCGAATCTGATGTTTGGAATTCTACAATTGAGGAAATTTTAAATCGCCGTGGCTATATACACTCCCGGTGTGTATATAAAAGACAAATAGATTTTATATACACTCCGAAATACTAGCCTCCTTGGTAGGCCCAAAACTTGGGTTTTTGTGAGTGTTTGAGGATTCAGGGGCACCAAGTTTAAACCTCGGTCTTCAAGTTTATCTTATTGGATGATGAAAATCAGAAAACAACACGGAAATCTCCACCGAAGTTCGGTCGAGCGGACCGCCCCGCCCCGCTTGCGCGGGCCCGGGACCCTCCGCTCCCGGCGGCGGCGGCGAGACCGGTCGCGCGCCCCTGGCGTCCTCGCTACCTGGTTGATCCTGCCAGTAGTCATAGGCTTGTCTCAAAGTTTAAGCCATGCACGTGCAAGTTTAAACTGTCTCAGTAAAACTGCGAATGGCTCATTAAATCAGTTATGGTTCCTTTGATCGTCACATCCTACATGGATAACTGTGGTAATTCTAGAGCTAATACATGCGGAAGAAGCGCCGACCTCACGGTCTGGCGTGCATTTATCAGACCAAGACCAACCCGGGGTTCGCCCCGGTCCCTTTGGTGACTCCGGATAACACAGCCGATCGCGCGGTCTTCGCACCGGCGACAGATCATTCGAATGCCCTATCAACTTTCCGGGAGTGTATATAAAAGACAAATAGATCTTATATACACACTGGGAGTGTATATAAAAGACAAATAGATTTTATATACACTCCCGGAGTGTATATAAAAGACAAATAGATTTTATATACACTCTGGGAGTGTATATAAAAGACAAATAGATTTTATGTACACTCCGGGAGTGTATATAAAAGACAAATAGATTTTATATACACTCCGGGAGTGTATACAGCCACGTTCATTTTAAATTCATCAAGCATTGATTTAGTATACAAACAACAACTACCATTTGTGTTGTTGTTACATACATTTTCATATATTGTTGTTACATATATTTTCATATATTGTTGTTACATATATTTTCAACTTTACCCTCTTGCAGGAAGTGAGACAAGGATTTCTGGGCACAGTTGGGAAGTGAGTTAAAAGTCTGTTCCTATTACTGAACATTATGGAAGTACTTACGAGATCATCTAAATGATAATCACTGGCATTAAAATTTGCCATCTACAAGCTTGAATTTTGCTCTGTCATTTTTAACTATTACCTTGATGCATTGATTGTCAACATATGTGTGTATTTATGACATCTTACTAATTAGTCACCATTTTGCATACTTGTGAAGGAAAAGAAGCAACAGTGTGCATCAAGTATACTGTAACCAGGAGCATATGCTGAATCCAGACTAAGTCTTGTATTTTTTGTTACTTTTCTTTAAGCACTCCTCTTATCTACTTGAAGAAGATAAGTGAAAACACAGGTATGTGAAAGCCAGTTCATCCTGATGTTTGTAATTTTCCAATTTTTCCACTTTAATATTATGGTAGAATGAAGAAGAAGTAAGTTCATAATGACAGTTTTCTGTTTCATCCATCCTCTTCCCACCAGGCTGTACTATCCTGGCCAAGGCTGAGTTTCTGAACTCAGGAGGCTCAGTCAAGGACAGAGCAGCACTTTTCCTCATCAAGGATGCCCAGGAAAAAGGTTGGAGCTGTTGGTTGTTTCAATGTATGGATATAATATTATTCTGCAGCAGGCTGATTTCAGATGTCTGGAACTCAAGTGGAAATCAATTCTGCAGAGGCATCACTAGTATTATCTAATGCTAGATTATACTGCTGAGGAGGTCTGTGACAGGGGTAGCAACAAAGCTTTAAGACTTAACCTCCTTGGTCCAGCATGTCAATATCACTGCTACGTGAAAAGCATGGAATACCTACTAGTATCTGCATTTTCAGGTCAATTTGTGGAGACAAAAAAGATACAAGACACAAAAACTTTACTAAGAATTCATGTCATTTACATGTGTCAGTTGTAACAACTTCCAGCTCTACAATAGCCCTACTTTCCCACTCTGTCAAGTACCACAAGAACAGTTGTTCAATTTGTTCCTCTCCAGGTTTGATAGGACCAGGTGGCACTGTTGTGGAGGGGACAGCAGGCAACACTGGGATAGGTCTGGCCCACATGTGTCTGGCCCTGGGATACAAGTGTGTCATCTACATGCCTAACAACCAGTCTCAGGTATCCAAATAACAAGTTACCGGAATTCATTGATGCATTATTGCTCCATTGCTACTGAGGTTATTCATGCTTTTATCATTCGATTAACAACATTAATTATTGACATGATTAATTATTGACAAGTATAGCACAAAACATTGCTTGATTTATCAAGATTACAATGCAATTGTTACTCTAGATATCCTTGTAATTTCTGATGTGACTAACCACAGCCTTTTTGTAAACATATTTGTATTTTTTAATAACAGGAAAAAATTGATGCCTTAACCACTCTTGGTGCTGATGTCAGACCTGTGCCTGTTGCCCCTTTCACAGATCCAAACAACTACAACCACCAGGTATTTATCAGTCATCTTAGGAGTTTGCAAGAGCCTCTTTGCATAACTTTATCTATTCCTTCTAACCTAAACTGACATGTGGCTTTTATCTGTCAGATGTGTCAGCTGTAACATTTCTGCATGAATTAACTTGTATGTTATTTGTCAGACATGTTGCTCAGCAGTGATTAATAACAATTCTAATTCTTGATGCTCATGGTGGAACAGTTAGCAATTATAATGTCAAATTGTTTTCATAATCTGCACATGTTTTATTTCAATATTTTATTTGTATGTTCATCACTTTTCATGCATGGAATAGGCTCGCAGGTTTGCTGAAAGTATTGACAATGCTGTTTGGACCAACCAATTTGACAACACAGCAAACAGAAGAGCCCACATTGAGACCACTGGCCCTGAAATATGGAGGCAAACAGGTAAAAAAACCCTGCCTGGCTTTTCCTGACAGGACATGCTTATTGACATGTCCTGTCAGAAGAAAGAACAATCCATTAGTAGGTGTGTCAAGTCATAGGGTGTTAAATTATTATGGAGACATTTTGACTGACATGATAGTATATTCCCATACACCAGAGTTGAGCATGCACTTGTTCCTTTCCCTGCAGATGGAAAAGTTGATGCTGTCACATTTGGAACAGGAACTGGTGGAACTCTTGCAGGTATGCTGATTTTTTTTTATATTACCGGGTAAAGAAGTTCAGTCAGATTCTCACATGTCATTTTATGAAAGACTGTTACCTGGTATATATAGAAGAAGGTGTTAAGTACAATTTACCTATTTTCTTTTATTCCTATTGAGCCCTGTGCCATCACTTCTATGAATGTGTATTTGTAATGCTGTAAAACTGTTCCTTCCTTTCTAGGTGTCAGTATGTACCTGAAGGATAGAAATCCCAAAGTCAAGGCAATACTAGCTGACCCTGAGGTAATGCAATTATGTGTAAGGTAGTTTTTAAAATGCAACTACTGTACATTGCATTTACCATCTCTTCATAGGAAGCTTGACTAGTTGGTGCAGAGATACTACATATTTTCCCACAATTTGTGTTAATGTTGCAGCATGAGAACCAAGTGATTACAATTTAGAGCTTCAACTTTGTACCAGGACAGTACATGACTAGATGCTATGTCCTGAAGGATTTTATGATAGATACTTAGTCTTTTGAGCAGTTGTTACAAGATTGTATCCAATATTCCACTCCAGGGCAGTGTCCTATACAACTGGATAAAACATGGCAAGCTGGAGAGAGAGGGCACAGGCTCCATCACAGAGGGCATAGGTCAAGGTCGGGTCACAGACAACCTGAAGGGGGCAGACATTGATGATGCTGTACACGTTACTGACAAAAGTGCTGTGGAAATGGTAAATAATTCAAGTATCAGCGTTCACATTTTCAGCTCAGACTAACTATAGATTGTAGCATCAACTTTTGTCTTTCTGTGACAAAAAATGTTTATAACACAGAATGAAGGCTGCCTCATCATTCCCTTTCCTCATCACATTTTCCAATGTACAGTAATAAAAAAAAAAAGTCCTCAGTAAATGTCACTGGTTGTGTATTTACAGACATTCCGTTTGCTGCATGAGGAAGGCTTCTTTGTTGGAGCGTCCTCAGGACTAAATGTGTCAGCAGCAGTGCAGGTGAGCATGTCTGCCACTTCATTGTTAAGAGGGCCTGCATGCCCTTTTTCGTAAGGCGTAATCAGGCCTTTTTAGTCATGGTAATCCGTAGGCAGCCGCCCCAGAAAATCAGCGTAATTCGTAGTAGTACAATAGCCGGAAATCGTAAAGTCGTAATCAGCTCTGAGACGTTAACGTAATTCGTACTTGACGGCAAAAATTTTGTGTCATTCGTAATCACTACCCCCCATGCAGGCCATCTGTTAATGGCAAGACGAAAGACTTGGGAAATATTCATGGCATGAACCATGTACTTCCAAAAGACCTTTGTAACACTGTTTTCCACCTCCAGGTTGCCCAGATGCTTGGACCAGGTCACACCATCGTTACCTGTCTATGTGATACAGGCCAAGTAAGATATCTGCATACATATAACGTTATGTATATGCCATTGGTGCTAATGATCCATCTTACATTTTGATGTATGAGTATGGTGTAAAATATGTTTCTTTGTTTGTTAGCATCTAATACAGAATGAAGTTAAGTTCAATCCATTGACCATGTTGTATTTTCTTGTGGTTTCTTTTCAGAGATACTATGCAAAATTGTTTAGCAGATCAGTTTTGGAAAGCAGAGGTAAGCTTACATGCCTTTTTTGCATTGTCTTCCTAAGATTGTTGAAGAGTGCTTCATGAACCATCCAACATTGTGAAAATCATGTGGGTGTGAAAATCCCTTTCAGTGTTTGATAAATGTTTCCTGCTTATGCTAATACATCTGTTTTTTGCAGCAATTGTTTTGGTTTTCCTTCTAACACATATCTCTATATCATTATTTCAGGTGTCTTGGATAGTGTCCCAGAACAGTACAGAACCTCCCTGCATGACTAGTCAACAATCATTCAGTAATGAAATTTACATACAATATATACACATACATACCTCTGTATACTTAATTTTGACAAACGTTAAGCTATCATCTAATGAAGCCATCAAAAAGAGAGACTATATTTTTTTATGTCTCACTTTTATACATTTTTTAATCAAGACATTACCACCTGATAGGGCTTTGTAGATGATACCCACCTGAATGTGCATGGTAATAAAGAAAATCAGATTATTGTTGTAAGCCCTGTGAGCAAATCACATAGGATTCCAGGACTTTGATGTCCATGTAGCATTTGGTATGAAGAAAGCATAGTGGTGGATACATGCATATTGATTAGTAGAATTATGGTACATATTGCAGACCGGTGTTAAAAAAGTGACACTTGAAGCTGCAATTCATGAAAATTAGGACCTTTGCCTAAATGATAAATACTGTAAGTCCTTTATGTAAAATGGTAGGAAATTGATAATCATGTATGTACCACAGTTAAGCAGTATGACTCATTTTACATAAATAACATGGACTGCTGTTCTTATATAATTGAAAATGAACAAATGAACATATTTTGTATAAATCAAAGAAACATTCCTATATTTCCCATTACTCATGAACTCATCAATCTAGCCCAACATGTGTTGCATGATAAAATTTTATATTTACCTGGGTGCATAAAACTGTTGGTTGTGTGTGGATAACCCGATATTGAATATACATGGAAACATAGATTTCATTTTTCAAGACTGAAGAATGCCAACAAGATGTCATATTATTCTATAGTATTATTATACTTTTAACAATCTAGAATTTAAAACTTTTAATGCCAAAATGTATTTTTCAATCAGAAACAATAAAGGGCTAAACAAATCACATTACATTCATTCCTTGTTTTTCCTACCAGAATCTCACTAAGCTTCCCTTCTACCTCCATGTTCTCATAGAGTATGCAAAGGTAAATGCATAATTGATTGGTTTCAAACTTCAGTCATTGCAAGCTCATCCAGCATTGCAATCCTACATGCAAGTAACGTTACTGATCTAATCTCTCCTGAACAAACAATGCTTTACAGCATATCTACTACTTCAGTAAAGGTTAGTCTAAAGAAAACATGAACTGAAATATATTAGTCGAGTACTGCATGATCTTCAAATTAGGTTTATTTAGAAAAACAAAACTTAAACCTTTATCTTTATTAGTTCCTTCCCTGTAATCTCCTACATCACTATTGAAGCAAGACAAAGTACTACAATATATAAAGCTGCAGGGATAACATGTTAGGTGATGACCTTTCACCAGAAAATGGTGCCCAAGATACATACCGGAATACTAGTATCTACTTGGTCCACCAAGTACATACACAAGCACTAGATTACTTGATTACATGTGCTTCCTCTCAATCATAAGGCAAACTATGACACAAAAGTACATAAATGTATAATCAGTATACATATCTATATGAATGATCCATATGTCGATGGAAAAGTTCAATACAACAGTACTTTCAGTTGACAATCCTTGTCTAGTACAATGTAGTGCATTTGTAGCAGTGCATTTACCTTGCATTATACAAATTACAAGTACATGTACCAAGACTGACTAATAACACTGAGAGAGAGTAACAAGTATTTTTTTTTACTTCCACATCAATTCTTTACTAGTATCTATGAGTGGCAACACTAAAACATTTAGTATGCTCCTGATTTCTTGGGTAGATTGGCTGTTTCATATTTGGTGAGTGTTTCATCCCAGAGTACAAACTGCTTGGACATGAGGTCGACCAGCCGGTTGTACTCAGTCAGCAGTCTTCTGACGTCATCAGTCAGGACCTCTGCCTGTTCCTGCTGCTCAATGTGGACCTACAACATACAAGGGAGATAAAACCAACAAATTATGATTAAATGTGGACTAATGGACACCAAGATTTTTACTACACTTTTTTTTCTTTTTTGCTTGAGCTTGTTAAGAGATTTACAGATAGAAAAGTGTGCTTACAGCAAGGTCATTGCATACAGTGATGCCAATTCCTATGATTAAGTCATTCATGTTTACCCTTTTGACACTGAATCAACTGATCATGTGTACGAAACTTAAAGAACTGTGGAAAAATGAATTCAGAGTTTAGACCAAGGAGGTTTGAATCTCCAACCTGTGCCAAACTGTGGAGCTGGGACGTGTAGTTTGCTGTCGCTCTGATGTGCTCGCTGTCAAAGACTTCCTTCATCTTCTGCAGTTCTTCCAGCTGTGCCGCTAGAGCCTTTATGTCCTTCTCTGCTGACAGAACTACCTCTGCTTTCGCAGTGTCAGGCAGAGTCAGGCGGTCAACGAAGGCGGGGTCCAAATATTTCTCGATATCTTCCAGCTTTCTCCACGCTTGTTTGATGCGATCGTACCCTTCCAAAGAGCTACCGACATGACTCTGGAAATTAGCGAGACTCTCCACTGCAGGTTCAGGCCGCTGGTCACTTTCTTCGCCGTAGACGGCCTCCTCAAGACGCTGAAGCCGGGCTTCCAAGACAGAAATTTCACTTCCGTCCGCCATGTCTAATGTTACCCAGAATTCTCCACGCGGGACAAAGTTTAACCCAAGGCCCCACATGTACATTACGTTCTAAAATATTTCACCGTTGACGTTGTTAATTTCAAATAGGTAGCAAAAATTTACATCCATGATAAACTTCTCTTTTATTATAATTTATTCTGTTTATTGTTTTAGTATCTACAGATAATTTGCTGCAAGTACTTGTGATGTGAAAAATCTAATCAAGCGCTTTTCTTGTAGGGTATGTGGTCATTAGTTTACACCTGGGCCAACATGGCGTCCTCTTCCCGGTCGTCCAGGCCGCGGAACGGTTATCGTTCTCCAGACAGCAGACACATCCCCGAGGAGGACAAGATCATGTTTGAAAAACTCCATGATGCAGTCGGAAGAACCAAGTTCAAGATCAAATCTCTTGAAGATGAAGTTGTTTCAAAGTAAGCTACCAGAAAGTCCTGAAAGTGTGTCTGTTTTGCAAACCTCCTTTTCTGACAACGCTGTGTCTAACCATGGAAAATCGTGACAGATTTTGAACAACGCGTTTCTATCCTGAATGCATGTGTAGATCTCCAATGTAGCGCCCCAAGCTATTCGTATTGTTACTCAATTTAAAGGAATAATCATAGATGCAACAGGTTGCGAGGCATACGTATTCTTGAGTCCCCGAGCCTCGGGCGTGTCCAAATATTTTGTTTGTTTATTCCGACGTTACCATGAACTGATCGTGAACAGGTGGGGCGGAACTTTCTCTGCAGGTCAATATTGATTAGCAGTCTGTATCACGTCTGTGTTAAGCTAGTCGAATTGCGTCCTTGCGAGGCAGAACTTTCGTTAATTAAGGATCTGTAATGGAAATCACTTGCATTGATATCGACCGCGAATAGAATGGCGCTTTCTCCCAAATGAATAATTGTCTGATTGACCGCCTCTGTCAGTTTATCAATAACACCGTGTGCGTGTGTAGGCTTCTTTCCTGTTGTACTGATTCAGGCTTTATTGTTTTGTCCTCATTAAAGTTTAATAGGGAGTAGGATACATACCGTCTTACGGCATCCTCGGGGAGAAATCACTGACAACGGTAGTGCAGCCGTGACAATACCTCCTGCCATGTAGTGTTCACTAGCAATACTGTGTATATAAATGTTGTTTAATTCATATGGAGGGAGAGGTCTTACCTACTGCAGAGGTAGATGTTGATCTCGAAAATGAGGTGGAGAAATTCATTCTGGATTCTTTTTCCATGAAAAGGGAGCGTGCGGCAGCGAGAGAGGAGGCCCTGCGACGTGAAGCTGAGCGCAAGCAGCACGAGATGGAGGAGAAACGGCTGGTGGACATGTACGGTGATTCTGGGGTCAACGAGGAACTGAAAGAAAGGCTGTCACCAGAAACGTTGAGGAGGAAAAGGAGAGGTGAGAGTCCAAGTCCCACCCCGAGGTCCACGGAAAAACATGTCCGGTTTGAGGACCGGCGGTCATCTGAGTCGTCCATCACCAGCTTAGAGAGGAGACAGGAGGAGGAGGAGGCAGAGGAGGAGGAGAGCAGAGGTGAGACAGTTGTGTAGACTGGAGTTATCTCATTCTGTACTGTGTGGGAAATATTTAACAGTATATAGCAAAAATGTTTACCAAGATGCTGACCAAGGTAATTATATAGTCCTTGTAGACAGATATGGACATTGTTGTTATTATTTGTTATTGCATATTCATCCCATACTCAAACAGGTAGCCATCTTCTCAATTTAAGGCCACAATGACATAACCAATACCATAATACCATTTTATATAACTTGCACAGACTTCAGATGAAAATACAATACAATAGATACGATAATTATGCAACCTCCATTTTGTGAACCATGTCTAGCTTTATCAAAGAAGAAAAATCAGCATCATTAAATTCTTGCTAGAATGCTAGTACATTGTGTACAATGTATCTCAATTGCATGTAACTCAATTCTGTATCATTCTAACAATGCTGTTGGGTTGGTGACCTTGCCTTGCTTTAAATGTGTGTATGGATCATGTCTCTATTGTGTACGTCCACTCACAATGGAGTGACGATGATTGAACATAAAAGAGAGTCCCATTGAAATGCTCTCAGCAGATGCCCATCAATTCACAGGGGACACAATGGAAAGCAACTGTCTAACTAATGTTATTGATTTATCTAAATCCTTTATGCAGTAGAAAAACATGGTAAAATAATTTGGGTTTGTTGAATTAATATGAATAGCTCGCACATAGGCAATGCTCAAGAATGTCGTCTTAGTTTATATATGGTAAACAATACATTGCATGCAAAAGACAGCAACAAATACATTAATCATAATGATATATTTTGAGGGGGGCAGCAATTACTAGTACCGCCGGTAAGAGTTGACTATGGCCACAAAGCCTACAAGCTAGTGTTTGCCCTAATGGAAATTTTCTGTTCAAAGGCAATTGCAAATGCCTACTAAGTAAATTCCACGTCTTCTACATTGTATATACATGTATACTATTCAGTCAATCAGTGGACTGGCCTTTAATGAAGCACACTTGTTATTTGTTTGAATAGCAGCAGGGATTACATGTACTAGAGTATACAGCATTGTGGTCCACAAAGTTCAGCATCTGCATCATTTTCATTGCCATTTGAAAAATGAAAGCATCACAGGTCTGATTTTCTTTTCCAGCTACATCCCTCACTGCTATATACAGAAAAATGGGTCAGAAAAGATTCTTCTTTTATCTCTGTACAAATTCAGGACTATTCATAACTGCTTTGTAATTTCAAGGGGGTTAAATACATTGGTAATTTGCTGACATGATAATTTTGACAGGCATGAGCCCATGAACAAAATTTTCAACTAAAATTTTCTACTAGAGCACCTAGCAAAAGTAAATGTTTTATTATGATTTTGATATTTGATATCATTCCTACTTGTTTCCCTAGATTTTATAGATGACGAGCAGGATGGTGAGAGGAGACAATTGTCGAGAAGAGACATGAATGCCAGCCCTGGCAGAGGCCAGCGTGATTACCGGCGCAGCCCTCCACGAGGCCGGCCCAGACCACCTCCACCCCCTCCCTGGGACAGGAGAAATGACTATTATGATGATGAAGAATACTATGATTACTATGATGATGACTATTATGAGGATGAAGATTACTATGAAGGGCCACCCACGTTACCCCTCCCTCCCAGAAGGTCAAGGTCACCAGGAGCTGGCAGGCCAAGGTCAGCCCCCCCTCGCTGGGGCAGCCCTGGTTCTCCTGCAGGCAGGCGGAGGAGGAGGAGGCCTGACTATGACCAGTATGAGGAGGAGGAGGACATGGACATCAGAGAACTTCATGCTCGCAGCCCTACTAAGAACCAAGAGAGCCAAACTGTTAATCAAAGTGACCAAAGCTTGCAGGTGGACACCACAGCAGATCAGAGTTCCTTTGTTAACATTTCTTTTGACACGTCTAAAGATAAGCCAGAAGAGGAGGCTGGGAAGAGCCTATCTTTGCTACTCACCGAGCTTGATGCAGTCAAGGAAGAAAACAGACAGGTAAGTTTCTCGGAAGAAGGTAAACAAAAACTTAGCATGCAGTTTTTGACACAATTAATAGGTGGCGCTTTTTTGTGCTTAGACCTTTGATGACCTCTACTAGTTAGGCAAAATTTCATGCCTTACCAGTAGGTGTGAGAAATGAAATGCTGAGTTTTTTTTATATCTTGGTAGTGTACTAAATGACTAAGTTGCAAAAACTTGAAAGTATGGTCTTAAGTTAAATAGATAGACAAGAGATTGAAGAGAATTAAAACATAGACGACAAGTTTGTAATAGAGTCTACTATTACTACTACATGTACTAGATGTAATTGATAAAGTTTGGTCTCATTGCCTGCACATACTGTTATACATACATACAAATCTGATGAAGTAAATTGATACATATTTGTATTGCTTGCATAAGTTGCTTGCTTCACGCAGTTATTGTTGATCATCCCAATATTAATGGTTTTCCTCAGTTGAAAGCAAAGCTATCTGAGGCTGAACGAGACTTGCAGGGAATGCAGCTCCAGGAGTCTCTACTTGAGAAGTCTTATGAAGCACAGCTGGCAGAGAAAGGTGCAGGTGAGTAGGAGAAAAGTATAAACTTCATTACTGGGACTTCAGCTATCTGTAGATCATTCACCACTTGTTGCATGTAATAACCCAGGAGAATTAGATGGTAGAATCAAAATCAAAGATTGAGACAGCAATAACTTTATAGTTGCTTAGAGCTTTTCCATGGAAGATTAACCAGAATGATCATTGTCATACACATGCACACACAAACACGTGCACACACACACACACATGCGTGCACACACACATATTCTTGGGAGACCAAAAGGCAGGACAGTTTTGACCCCATTGTCAATGGTATCACTATAGTTACCTTCGCCAAGAATTGGAGAAGGTTATGTTTTCCTGGCCGTGTGTGTGTGTGTGTGTCTGTCAACAGCATAACTCGAGAAAGCTTAGATGGATTATCTTGATATTTGGTAGATGGGTAGGTCTTGATGAGAGCTCGAACTGATTAGATTTTGGGCCCCCTGGCAGCTTGTCATGGTACTGCAGCTGAACTTCCGGTTTTGATATCTCATGATCCAGACATGCTAGGGTGACGAAATTTGGATGGCAGGTAGCTCTTGTGCTGGGGAAGAAGTGACGTGAGTTTGGGCCCCCTAGTTCCTTGCTCTAGAACTGCAGGGGGGTTTAAAGGACAAATGTTTAAAGGAGGATAACTCAAGAACCGATTGATGGATCATCATGATTTTTGGTATGTAGGTAGCTTGAGTAATGCTTGACATAATGATTACAATTATGCAAATATGGATGTAATTTGCATAATTAATGAGGAAATTCTATTAATCAACTGCATTCCATGATAGGAAGTTCAAGCTTGCGACATATGTTATTAACAACGAGAGAAACACAGGCAGATATCGATTATGCAAATGAAGACTTAATTTGCATAATTAATGAGAAAATGTTATAATTGCATAGTGGTAACTGCCTGGAATTTTATACTTGGGGTGTTTGAAGTTTAGTGAAGGTAAACATAATTTAACATAACTTATTCAAATAAGGACCTCATTTGCATAATATATTAGGAAATGCTATAATGGCATTCTTTGTTAAAATAAGACTGTTGGTGGAGATCATGATCAACAGATATAATTCATGCAATTGCGGATCCTATTTGCATAATCAGGGGGATTAATACATTGTATATAAGTTCTCATTCATAAAAGCTAACATCATTTGGCGAAGGTATGAGATCGTGGAACTCTAGTTTTTTTTGTGCTCAAAGATGTACTGATATTTTATCTGTTTGGTGCACCTGTGTATGACTTAGTACTTCCTAAACCAGCTTAAATTTGTCCAGTGACCTGTAAAATTTCATGACAGTTCAGGTGCACTGGTGGGAAGAAGACAGTGTTTAGGGTAACACATTGTGTGGTCGTGCACTTTGTTTCCTCAACTTCCTGGAGAATGATTGGGTTTTGCCCGGTGAAGGTCACTTTTTCTCATTAAACAAAACAATGTTATAATCCTACGGATGTGGTGGGATAGGAAGAGATAAGAAAACACTGCGGAGATTATACAAGTGAAGGGAAGTAGTCTATCTGTTTGTACCTGTGTGTCCACTTCCTACCTGTACGACATGCAGGTGTGTTGTTGTCCTTGAGAACCAATGTGGTCTTGTTTTCAAATGAATGTTTGTTTTGTACTCGTGGTTTATGATAGTGAAAAATGAAAAGGAACAAAAATTTACAAAACAGTAACTACAGAAAATGTTTTCAGTGTCAGACAAGTTATGATCATATAAAAAAGATAATCATCAGTTACAATTAAATCATTTAAATGTTCGCTCTTCTAGAATCAGCCAGGTAGAACAAACAAACAGGACAACTCAGATTTAGCTTTATTGATGAAATAAGAGCCAAGTAAACAGCCTTGTAGGTTAATGCCTACATCTCTGAACATGAAGTCAATAACACTGATGAGATTTTCACTATCCCATGTGGTGCAGGAATTCCTAATCACCTCATAAGAGACAAACCATCATCATTAAGCCTTGATGGAGATGTTAATGTGCAGGACAGAGATGGACTTTGTAGTTACTTTGTGTGTTTAGGAAGAAACTGCAAATGTCTTACTCATCTGGGCTCATTTTTAGGATAATGCAATGATAGACATTCAAAAGATGTTAAAAAGAATTAACAATATCTCAGGAAGAATATTGAGAGAGATTTATCAATTCTACCTTCTATGCTAGGAGACATTTACAGGAATTTGCTGCAGATATGAAGCAAAGAAGAAAACATAGCATTTATTATGAAGGATAGTTTCCATTTTGTAATATAACACTGAGAAGCGACACTTGTCTGTAGAGGGCAGCCAGTCATGAAGTTGTGTACCTTTGTGTGTACGAGTTTGCCCAGTGTAGATTGTTACTGTAACCCGATCTTCCAATTAACTTGTTCTAGCCTACTTCTTGGTCCCAGGTTTACATAAACCATTGTGGCAGCAGGTGTATTTGTACAAGATCTTCAAAAATCTGTTGCATTCTTGCCTGGAGTTCCCTGCCATACTTCTCAAGCTTCTGAGTATCACCAGTTTCTGTTGTGATTGGGTTATTTCTGATGAAGCCCATCTAGCTTTTATTAGAAAATCTCAAAACTGCAACTTTCACTAATTACTGGTGTTTAGCGCCCCACCATCTCATTGGGATTTCTTGGTTTGTGTGAAGTGCTAGTGGAGACATGTCATTCAATGCCCTATTGGCCAAGCCTGAGTGATTCCTGACAAGCCTCTACAAATCCGAGCATGTTGTGTGAGCCACTGAAGTACGGCAACTTCAAACCGCGGGGAGAATAATTGAGCCGTTGGTGTGACAGGTGATTGTATTGAGGGGAGTGAGTCAAGTCCCCGCTGGGGCCTTTCAGGACCGTTCTGAAGGTGCTGGTATCCATGTTTTCTACAACATGATTCAGAGATCAAAGTCTTAGCAACCAAGAGAGGGCGCAAGCTGCTTCCGAAGTGTTACGTCTCAGACTGGCTGATAGCACAGAAGCCCTTGTTCTCATAGATGTCTGCCAACACAGTCTTGTTTCAGATGCTATGCCAGGAAAGATTTACACAATCCTTATTGTAACAGTTTAGGGTAAAGGCGCCAAAGAAGCGTCAAGGAGGTTTTATCTTACAGTGGTGTTAGCAGAGAGATGAAGTGGTCCTCAGCTTTGATGCTGTCTCACCAACTCCTTGCCTTAAATATTCACTTTTCCTCTTTTATTATTAAAGAATATAAAATCTATTGCATTCATGTTTGATGTGAAATGTCCATATATAACATACAAGCCCCTGTCCTGGGTACCTTACATGTTTCATATGTTTATGAGTATTTTTGGGATGGGCAAACAGATCAAAAGGCAATTCTGTAGGAAGATCAAACAGCCAGGTTTGCACGAAGCAGGGATAGTCAAACACTCACATTTGCTTTATTAAACTCTCCAAACATTCCAGTTTGCTTCGGCGCATGTATCAAGGATTTTTAAGCCAACCTCTCTGACGTCCTCGCTGCCACAAGGGCCTCGCCATGAATGACAGCCATGTTTGCGTAAATTAAGGTTCACTTCACCGTGCTTAACTTGCATCGTGTGTCCTGGAAGGAAGCAGATGTGAGCAATTCACATCCCACTTCAGACTCCTGAAAGGAATCTCACAGACGAGCTTTCCTTTCATTTCGCCGCCAAGAAAATCTTACTTTCCACTGTGAATGACTTGTATTCCCGCGCAAGGTTGCTCGGTCACTATCAATGTTGATTTACAAGGATATCCCCCCTCGCTGCCCCTCAAACACATGCAACAAGTGCAGAGCATATTGAATCGGGCAATGTTGGCATGTCTTTACATTTGTGCTTGAATATGTTTGCAGGGTAAAGGTTGGTTAGTACATGATACATTTACCTTCCCCCTTAGCCGGGAGCCTGTGTCCACCACTCCTGGCTGCCCAATTGAGCAGCATGCTCTGTAAAGTGTATCGTTTTGATGCAAAAGTGTGACGGCCAAACAAGGCTGGAGTGGTTGTGTTGGAGAAGCGAGCAAATGTTGTTGTGTTTGTGCTGACTCTCAGCTGCTTGTGCCCCGTGCAGAGCTGATCCATGAGATCCATCAGGCACAGAAGGAGCGGGAGTCTGCCGTCATGAACCGCCTACGCCTGGCCAATGAGGAGAGAGACGAAGCCCTTCTGCGCTGCAAGAGAATTGAGGTCGCCAAGGACCAGTAAGTTCCTCACCTCCAATATCACTAACACCCAGCTTCTAACAACTAAGCCTTTAAATATGAAGAGGAAAGCCTCCAGATTAAACATACCACATTTTCCTACCAGCTCTGTTCCCATAAAACATTTTGTATTGCTGTAGTTTTCTATACATTATACCTGCCATACAAATCTCTGCTAACTATGCACAGGTATCATTAAGTGTTCCTGCATTTTTTATACCTTTTCTACAACATATATGACTTTCTTGTCAGTATACCATTGGATGGTCTCCAACAAATTTGACATTTAATATCTTTATACACTCAGAAAACATATCAGGCCAAAATCAGATGAGATGAGATTTTCGGTGTATAACTGATTGGCATATTTTCAGTGTCAAGGATGTTTCTGCTTACATGTTTCTCAGATGCAGCTCCCCACACAAGCTGCTGCTGCGGTAACATGCTGACGGTTTGCCATTGTGTTTGTCATTTGCACAGGTTGCCATCAAGTGAAGGAGATTACAGCCTGGGTGATGCTGTAAGTGTGGCTGTACTTTATCTCTCCTAATACTCCAGCAAACACTGCTGCTAGCCCACTCTAAAACTTACTGTGTACCACAGAGTCTACAGCCTCGGGTTTCTGGGAATATTTTGGTAAATAGTGTGTCTCCAGCACACTTTGCATGATAGGATTTTTCATTGCCTGACATGTACACATATATCTGAAGTGAAGGATAAGACATATTTTGGGGAATGACAGTGTACCTAGCTTACTTGTATTCAGATTGTACAAATGGTTACATGCACGCACATTGTATATTTATTTGTCAGAGAATGGAAAATACACAAAGGTAGCAGAAGGAATCAACTACTGGTATACATTACAGGTAAAAGCAAGCTCGTGTTGAATAGAATGATTGGAAATCAAAGGTTGTAGGCAATTAAGAATAAATAGTTTACACTCGTAGATATTGGTGCCAAAGTACATGTACATGTAGTTGTGCTGAGGATATGCAAGTGCAGAGATAGCACAAGGTGACAGCTGACAGAATCATTGTCTCTGACATGACTCTGTGACATCCCAGACTTTAGATGAGTTGCTGGACAGAATAGCCAAGGCGGAGACGGGGACAGCCATAGAGAGGGATGGGCAGATGATCCTGGACAGGATTAACAACACCAAGAACAGGAAGAAGCGCATCACCAGCGAGGAGATGAGAGCTATCATAGACGAGAGGGATTCTGCTGCAGAGAAGGTAGGATAGGTTAGTGGGTGGTCTGTGATACGGAAGACCTCAGGTAAACTCACCAATGTTTGTATATACATGTATCCTTCTAGAAACAGTCTAGGCCTTCCATGGACATGCCCTTCAAATTTGCCAGTGTTCTCAGTTCTTTCTGTCTAAAGAATACCATGTTACATTAATGTGTTTTTATACCTGAAGTGTAGTCACCTGTGATCAGGTCAGTCAGGTTTTGCCAGGTGAGTAGTTTCCCCTGACATGTCACACAGGTTTGAAACAGGAGACCCAGCCTGGGAAGAAAGGAGGAGTTCAGCCACAGGTGTAGAAGCTGCTCAAGAGGGGGTTATTTGTTCTTAGCTTTCCTTAGCTTATTGCCTGGGGAGAGTCGGGCCTATATAGAATGGTGTGTTTTGACAGTAGGTCAGTAGAATGTGGATAAGAAGGGGACCAGTGAGCATACACATGACCCATTGCCCTGTTAGAATGGTTTATCCTTCCAGAGATCACATTTGGCCATGTCTTAAAACATTTCCAATTTACACAGTCCGCATGTATTTGAGCCTACATTTATTTGCAACATGCTTTATCTAAACTTACCTATAGCAGAAGTTTACGTATTTCAGTATTGCTTCTTTCAAACTTAACCGACATATATGACAAAACATGTTGGTGATGTCTAAAACTCCTAGGGGGAAATATAGAGCAGAGTTCATATTTTGTACCTTACTCTTCTCCAGGTGAAGAGACTAGAGCAGGAGCTGGCAGGGTACAGGAAGAATGCCGACCGCTCAGGCAAGGCCGTGGTGCCTCGACAGAACAACCAGGAACAGGCACTCAAGGTACTGGTGGCCATCTGAGATGGCATTTTATATCTAAGAAAACACAAATCTGTTCTAAGCCTACATTTGAAATCTCACATTCTTCCATATTCTTAACAAACAAATGTGGTTGATGCTTTGCAGGAAGATTTGCTCACCATTTCTGATAAAGAACTTATTTTGATGCCTACAATACAAAAATTAATCTGTATTGAACATAAGTCATTTTTGTGCACAAGAAAACCAGTTGCAGAGGTAAAAACATCTCTTTCATGAAATGCTTTTCTCCATTACCTAAGTGAACATTAGTGATGGTTATGTGACACGTACTAAAGGTGTACAAGAATAACACAGCCGGGGCTGAGTACAGGTCTGAGAACCTGATATGTCCTGCAGGCCTGTCAGCACTCTAATCTACTGCACCTGTTCTTTGGAAACCAGCAGACATCTTCGTTTGTTTTCCTGTTGTATGATAAGGTGACACCTTTTTATCTGTGATTTCAAACCTACAATTTGTTCAGAATGTGAAGTTGTTTTAAGGTTACTGTAAAGGTGTGTGCAATTTATGAGTGGTCTTTTGTTGATGGCCCTTTGGACACCCTGCATCATGGAACATCTTAAGTGCAAAAAGTGCTTCACCTATACATAGTCATATCCAAGATCTTGAAAATGTGTAGTACCTGTTAAGTATCATTCTGCTTGCTGTCTCATCCAGCCAAACAGGAAAGCAAGTAAACATAAACTACTCACAAACAGCCAAATAAATTTGAACACAACAAAGCGAGCAGAAACTGTACGGAGGCAATCAAACCTCACATAAACAACTACAGCAAACCATCAGAAATGTTGGTCAGTTTGTGTATTGTTAAATGTATTGAGCTTTATTTGTTTGTTATGCAGCAAGTACAATGAGCAGTTATCACAACAAACAAAGCCTTAAGAAATATAAATCTGGTTGGCCCAATTTCAGAAAGCTGAAGAGATGGGCAAGCAAAGTTTTATAGAAATTCTGTCTTAAAGGATAATGAGAGGTTCTGCATCAATCAGTGCACATCCGTGCTTGTTTGCTTGTCAGATCCTTCACAGTTCACTGAAAGGTGAAGCAACCCTGGCAATCCCTCCCATTCAATCCTGCCCATCTCCCTGCAGTCACGCCTTTCTTCCATTACACTCCAATATTTCGCTAATCCCCCAAATGTTGGGCACGACGAGCTGCTTGAACGCATGGGTTGGTCTTCCTCCCCAGATGTTGATGCAGCGGTGCGACACCCCCTGCAAGGAAACCATGTTATATGATGACTGCGGGACTGACGGTTTAATTGACACCAGTAATAGAGACTCCTCTTATCTTCCGGATAAGTCCAACAAGTCACGGGAACAGGAAGTCATTTCTGAAAAGGGGAGAGATAATCTTTCCTTCCTGTGGGTCAGTTTTGAACCATCACTGGGCTCCTTACTGAACCACTTTGTCACACTGAGAATTTCGCTTCCTCTTTCAGGTCATGTCTGTTCATGTTCCCTCCCAGCTGTAGTGCTCCTGAGCTTCTGTACACCTGTGCCCCTATTCATCCCCGTGCTTAGCGAGCACACCTTCACTAATACCTCAGCCCTATTCAAGCTCACAGTGATGGGGTCAGCCAGAGGGCAGGGGATAGCCAGCAACACAACCCTGCTGTTTGCTTATTGTTTTAGGGTCCCCCTCCTTTGTTCCAGGTGTACCCCCATTGTCTTCTTAGGGTGAAATGTCTTTCCCTACAGCACACCTAGATTTGTGCTAATCCTGCTTGGATTGTGTCAAGGCATGAGGGGAGATTTTCTCTTTATCCACCCTTGCTTTAACTTGTGGTAACCCTCCTGTGTTGTGTAAGGTTCCACCTGCCATGTGGCACTTCCCCACCTTGCACTTGTCAGCACAGCCCAAACCCACCTGTAAACTGGCGTGTTTACCCCCAGCAAGTCGAGCAAGGGATGACGTAGGATCCCACTTAGACTGTTGACAATTAGGGAAGTACCAACTGACAGATCGGTGCCTACACAGCTCACCCACCTCACAACTCTGCAAGGAACTTTTATCAGTATCAAGAATTGATTCTTAATGCAGAATTCAATGTCTGCCCAGCCTTAATCAGTTTCCCATGCTCAGAGCCATAAACGAGAGGCCGGGACCAAAATTCTACTAAACAATGTGGCTGCGACCACTTCCCCCTTTTATGGCCTGCCATGAAACGTGTGTGGTAAAGTGTGGGAACTATAAATCTGTAAGTGCTTTCTTCAGAAGTGGAGGCAATATTTCAAGAGATCGCCTTTCCTGTCCTTAAACTCACCTGTTAAATCACTGTTGTGTTTACATCATTAAGCTGCAGATGATGATGTGCTACGCACCATGACTTCTTATCTTAAAGAGATCTTACATCTCAGTGTTGACCTAAGAGACTAACTGATCTTCGCCCAAAAGGTTAATAAGTTGTATTATCCCTCTATTATCTTTTACAGTGACCTCCTGCCCCACAGGTGACCCTTGAGTGACCTATCCTAATGAACTTTATTTGCGAACACCCTTGGAGCATGTTGCTTGTACACCTCCCTATTTGCCGTGGAGGTGTGTGTCCGTATCAGATGCCCATTTGCTGACAGCTCACTCCAAGACTCAGTCCAGTAGAAACACTGTTATGTATTCCAATTACTTCTATTGTGCACCAACTTTTTGATCTGCCCGCCAGCATGTCTAATGATTGACGCATATTGTGGAATGTGACAAGGGCCCTAGTGCATCATGGTTCCTTGCCAGTTTTTCCCTAATGGATGCCATTGTCTTCCATTTGGTGCTGCATCGTAACAACAGTCTCTTTGTATTCCTGTAAATATCACGGTAGAATGTCAATTTGCATTCCAAGGTGCAGGAAAGATTCTGAAGATGGAACATCATGACACAAACAAGTAAACATGCACGTCTTTCAGGCCACCACCAAATATTGTCCCATTCTCTCCAGTTTATAGCATTATGATTGTCTCTCTGTTTGGCTGCTGCCACCCGCAAGCCTTGTTAAAGAGTTCCTCAAATTTGCTGGACTAACTCTGTTCTGGGAGAGAAATTTTGCCAAGTTTGTGGCCGTGTACACAGCTCCCTAATGAATGAGGCAAATAAAAATGACTGGCCGGCCGCCACTGAAATTTGCTCTCCATTTGACTGGAGCTGACAAGATGAGTGCTTGTTTTTGACAACCTAATAAAGTTGGAATGAAACAGCATCAAACCATGAGGGGTTGTCAGACTATGTGTACACCATAACAAATGGCCTGTTAGACATTAGGGGCTAGTAAATCCTCCGACTGGTCTCCAGTTTTATATCAGGGAGACCCAGGGGCCAGAATTACCATGGCATAATCACCCCTATTTGTGGTTGCCCCAGCATCTGGAGGGTTAATACTGCACCTGTGTTTGCTCTGCACCACTTCACAACCGTAGCTTGTGATGCAGATGGACAGCATGTGACAACCGCCCCCCTCACAGTCTGTAGCCGCCCTCTGTCCTCTCCTGTCAGGGGCATTGTAATCTTGTTTTTCACCCTGGTGATCGGAATGACAGCGGAGGTGTGTCTTACTCCTGTTCGTGTCCTACGCTCCACTTGGTGGCCGTAAGGGAAGGGTAAAGCCACGCGCTGTAATTAGTGCTGGCTTAAAGGACAGTCCAACTGTCAGAATTTCTAACTCCCGGGGCCTTGAAGGTCCAGGTGTAAAGCCTGCTACAAAGATGGGCTTTCATTCTGAGTTGAGCGCCCTGCCAAAACCCCTTTATACGTGTGCCATTGGTGCACAAAGGCTGCCCACATCTGTTTACCTGTGCCAGGCAAAGATTAATGACGTGTCTGCAGCATCGTGTGGCCGTGAGCCTCTTCAGCCTTTCACTCGCTGGTAATTTGGAGGCTGGATCTAAAAATGTCAGCACACTCGAGCATTGACAGTGTGTTTGGCCTCTCTCACAACAGGGCAAATGCTTGGCGCTGGGTGTTGCTCCTTGTGCTGCCACCATGGTCACCAATGAGCTTGTCAACACGCGTCATTCAGGGCTCAAACCAAGACATCTGCGCATCCTGTATATTAAAGAGCCAGAGTTGTGAGAGCCTGTTTTTTTCCCACCATGTTGAACAACTGACTGAATTTTAAATCTAGGAAACACAAGTATTCTTATCAAACTGTCTTGGTGTATCAAGTCAACAGCTGGGTGTCACGTATTCTGGGTCAGACTTTATTGTCAGAGCAAATTTCTAGAGTTATTAGTTTCCCTGTACGTCAGGTCCCTGTTTCCCTTGCTCTCAAGTCCATTCACCAGAAGTGCTGGCAACATCCTACTTTCATCTTAATTGTTTTCCTGGGACTGATAACTGACTTTTAAACAAGCTCATGTGCCATGTTTCTCATTTTGGCATATTTTCGGAGACCACCAAACTTGCTCGTGTAGAAAGTTCACAGGTAGCAACTGGTCTTTGCTATCAGCTTTGTTGCCAGGATTGTGTATCTCACTATTTTAGGTTGATTTATAATGCGACCATAAAAGCACATAACATTACGAGGTTTGTTGTAACAGCAGAGATAGTAACTACCATGATTTTAGATCATCAATAATCACTGATCACTTATCACTTGGTCAGTTCTTACCATTTATTACACACCTTTAAAGGGAATTCCGTACCTCTCTTCCTGTACAACGTCCTGTACAAAGTCTTTTATGAGAATTAGTAATGTACTTAGAAGATGCTCTTTAACATCCTGAATGATGGCTTAAAAGCAAGGAGATCCAAAGAGCCATTTGCTTTACATCTTATTTTTTCTGTCCTCTTCCCATGACCTTGTAGTGACCTTGTCCATAATGGCAATTGATGAATATTCATGAACCTGTCCATGAGAAACATCCATCATATTGTTGGTGAAGTCTAAGGAGCAGGCCCTATGTCCAGCTGGAGTTGTGTGTTCTGGACGGCGCCGTGTTTAAACTCGGGCACTGCCAGGTCCAATCGACCAGACGCAGGATAAACGGTCTGTGGAAAGGCCCACAGTCCAGGACAAACAGCTGAAGAGTGGAGTTTACTCTCAGCTCACTATCAGCTCCGAGTGTATTGTCAACACCTCGTGTTGACTCCACGGCATGAAGAGCTTGCCTTCCCCATTGAGCGACGGCAGAACGGGGTTCCAAACGCCGCTGCCGTTGGCCTTGTGCCACTGGTCTGCCCAGTGTTCAAACAGGAGCAAATGATAGTGTGCTCCCTCCAAGCATTTATTGTTGTTTTCTGAAAGTAAGAAGGCCAAAATAAACGGGGCTGAGTGTTGGACAAATGTTGAACCTAGTGTGTTGGGGTTTCCCCTCAACAAAGTCAAGGCGAGATACTGAGCAAATATTGATGTTTTCATTGGGACTTGTTCCTTATGTACATTTTTCGGACTTTTGGGATTACTTTTCACAGTTCAAAGTACACAGCTGTAACACACCTAAATCTTGTGCTTACAGCTGAAGGGTGCAGACATGGCACAGTATGTTCTTGTGTACTGCATACTTATAAGTAGAAACAGTGTGCTACAAGCAATGCATATCATACACGAACATTATGATTCGTGTAGGAATGGTACAAAAAAGGACCATTCAGTATGTAACTGCAATGTACATGTTTATGTCTCCATTGTTTTAGTATGGTACCTCCAAGAATAGTTTCATTTTGTTTTATGTCAGGTCAGATTGTTACGTTTGTGAACATTGTAGACTAATATGGCAATGGGTACCTTCCCCGATAGACTGCTGAACTAACTGCTGAGCCTTTCAACAGTGGTACTTATACAGTTCAGCTGGCCGCTGTCAGTACTATCTTACATCACCTGTAGATTGACAGCCATAAATTCATTTTTTTAAACTTATTCGTATCAGTTGTTCCCATGACAACTGAGTTGTTTGCTTATCCCTTCTTCAACCACTGCATGTGGTGTAAGACCCTTTTTAAAAATGAGATCCATCACTAGTTTAAAAGATAAATATATTTGCCTTAGATTGATTAAAACAGATTATTTTGCATGTTGTGTTATAGAGGAACTTTATTGGATCTTTACAGTTCTTGGAATCTGTACTCATTTCCTCTGTAGTTTCATTAGTAACAGGTGAGGCTGCCAGTGTCAGTTGGGATTTATTTGCTCTCTATGTTGTTATTGCCGACAGCCTTATTAAAGCCGTTATGTAAGAAAAGTCATTTAACATATGAATAGAGGAAGAAAAAGCACATGCATTTGTCACCATAAAAGTGAATATTACTGGGAGAGAGATGCCATAGTTCACAATGGTTTGTTAGGGGAGGCACAGATCTGTCTCTACCTGTAGCAGGCCATTCACAAAATCAATCACTGAGCTGCAATTTCATGTGGCCATCCATCTTGTGTGAATTCCTGGCCTGTCGCAGGGCCGTGAGTGTGACCATTGTGGTGTACCTGTACTGTACCTCCTGGTTCCACCTGCAGGGTACGGTACATGGCGAGGAAACTGGGATGTACTTAGTAACCTGGTCATTTCACTCCCCTCAAACCACAGGTGCACATGACTCGTACAACCAATGTTAAAAAGCATCACATTAAAATGATTGATGGCTATATTTGCACATTAAATGCTGTGTGTGCTTGAGAGATACAAAAATGTGTGTCTCCCAGCTGTCAGTGGTCAGTTTGTCTTAAGTTCTTTTATCTCAAAGTTGGATTAAACATACTTTTCTACAGATTAATGCTAGTCTGTAGGTAGCCATAAAATTGTTACTGTTTTGTCTGAGCTGCCATACCACATGCAGGCTGCAGTGTGAGACTGTAGAAGACTTCCATGTCCTTCTGTGGATTGATGTGATCTTTTTGAGAGGTCAGGGTGAGGTCATGACCTTTCCTTAACCTTGGAGTCAGTTACACCTTGAGAGAAAGTTACACAAAGGTGGTCAATGCATAGGGAAGAAACCTTGATACTGTTGATGTACACAAAGCAAGGAATCGTCCATATATTTTACTGGCATGCCAAGGGCGCAGTTAGCAACAAACATAAATATGCATACTACATGTATATTTATCTGCACAAACACACACACACACATGCACACACAAAATGGCAAAGGCCAATTGGTCATACTTGTACTCTATTCTTTTTTTTCGAAACATTTGGTAAAAAATTATTTATTTCTGAACCACTTGGCATTCTGCTATGTGTACATATATGTGCAAATACAACAGGGACATTTCTCCCTACTCTCTAGTAATGTATCATACTACTTATTTTGTGTCCACAGGAACAACTTGCAGCCACACGACAGGAGAGAGACATGTCCTTTGCAAAGATCAGAAAGCTGGAGGAGGAGGTTCAGCAACTGCAGGTGTATTACAGGTGGGTATACCTTATACTACTGAGATCATTCATGCTCAGATCAATGGGAACTGTTGCATCTGCCTGTTTAAGTAAGGACTTCCTTTCATTGATCTCACATTGATCTAAGGATAATGTTAGAGCCTTTGAAATCAGGAACATTATTGGAATTGGATTTTGTGTCAAGTCAAATCCTTTCCAATGAGGGTACAAGTTTTTTTCCGTTCATTAGATGTAAAGGACAAGGTGTATGGGATAAAGACACAACAAAAAAATCATTAGGACCATTTTATGAAATAATGTTACTTGTGTATGTTAATGTGCACATAACTTTCAAAAGACCCATCATGGGTTGTTATCTCTTTAAAATTGTTGTCATAGTCAGGACTGACACTGCTTCTCAGTGATTGAAAGCAGTAGAAGTATTCAATTTCAATTGAGGTGCACAGATAGGCTTGTTAAACAAACTCCTACAGTGGTAACAGTGGTGTTCCATCTTTGTGTCAACTGCTGCTTAATGCCAACCCAACAGGTCAACTCATTAGCACGCTCCACAGAAATGACACTAGAGCCCTGCAATCCTAGTATAGCACCATTTGTTGCCTAATGTGTCCCGGCTTGTCCCGTATTAATGGGGCCACTTGCACGCTGGCGAGACAACAAAATGCTCTGACTCCATTAGCAGACTTCTCATGATAAAATTACCCCCTAATGGCACCCTGGCAAAGGAGGTCCTGACACCCGAGCCAAATTGATCGGGACTGGCACGCGTGAACCTGATTCTGTTTCTTGCCTGGCAAGGGCAAGGTGATGGCCTGTTATTGAAGTGCAGTGGTACGTCCCTGCTGACAGAGAATTTCATCACCAGGAATATGAAAGAAGTGAGAATTCCTGCGCGGTGGAGAGGTTGCCATGTGTAAGACACGCTGTCGTGCACACGTGTCACAGAAGTAGGTCCTTAAAACGCATATTGCAGAATTGATATTTATTGCAGGATTGAACTTCAATTGTAATCAATCTTTTGAAGGAGGATTGAATGGCAGCGTTGGTAATACGATATTGCCTTTCTGCCATAAAAGTTTGCCACAAAAGTTTTCTGTCACAATGTCCTACTGTTGCCAATTAAGTGTTCATTGCAGACTACATTGGTAAAGTGCAACATTTTCAAACCACCAATTTATTCTTGACGTTTGACACTTGATTCATGTAACTGAATCATATCTAGCATTGTCTGATGAATAATGAGTTCGATTTATCGCGGTTAACCCTATGGGGCCCTGTTGCTAAAAACAGAGCGACGCTTTGTGGCTATGTTTCATGTACATTTTTCCACGTAGCCGTTTGCCGCGTCCCGTTACATCTCCATGGTGCTCTATGCAAAGGGCCGCAACTCACATTTCTTTATGGCCATGGCGTACACTCTGACCATGCAGGACGATACCTGTAAATGTAGGGACGACAATTTTTTAAGTCACCTGTTACAGACTGTTACATAACTTGTGGGCCTGTGGTAAAATTCTCCCACATAAAGTGATCCGTGTCCTGATGTCAAAGGTTAAAAACACATAGACAGCCCCTACCTGGGGTGCACAATACATCCCTTCATGTTCTAACTTTTCACAGGTCACAACACAAGCTCTCCCTCACAGCTGACCTTTCACCCCAACATTTGCATACAGCAGTTTTCAGATCCCCAACCTCCAAGGTGTTTACGCGGCGCAGCGTGAGGCAACATTCCCTTCCCACTCTGACAGGTGCTTGAAGTGAGCTCTCTTAACACACCAAGCATTGGCCGTGCACAAAGAGAAGTTGAAACACTTGTGATAAAGACGCTGATAAGGCCTGTGCTCCCTGCCCGTCAGGAATTCAGTGCCACAAAGCCTTGTTTGTGCTCGGTCTTACCTGGTGAGATGATATGTCAATGAATTGTTGGAAGGTTTACAGGAGTTGTAGGTCATGCCTGTGCTCACAGGTGGGGTTATCGCTGGTGTCATCATAAGTTTTGATGGCTTTTAAGTGGAGTTGGACATGAGAGCCAGCGACAAATATCACAGGTGTTCTGTTGAGCTTGGGTTACTCAGCTCTGCAACATGCATGCAAAACATTCATTAAGGAGCAGTCCTGTTTTTGTTGTTTGGTTGTCCATAACAACCAACATGTAACTGCCAGGAGGCAGGAAAGGTTGACAAAAAGTTGAAACAATTGGAAATTAGGAAATAGTCTGGTTGCTAAGTCCTTACTTTATGTCTTGAAGTGATTGAGTAGAAACCTGTGACAGAGACGTTGAGATAGTCTTTGTTGTTTCCATGAAAGTTATTTGTATGCCGGCCTAAAACCATGGTCACATGGCATGTGCTTGGGTAGGTTAGGCATGAAAACACCTTAAAAACCATCATCTTCATAGCCTGTTGGATGTCAGCTACAGGTATTATTACTGTGTGTTAGAGGACTTAACAGTGTTGTCTTGTTACTCTAAGTTGTTTGCTCTTTCCTGGGTTATCTAGAAATGTTGAAAGAGAGACTACCCAGCTTGAACCAATAGGTGTGCAAGAGAAGGAATATATCCCTTTTCCTTTTTTCTCTGCAGACCTACTTCAATATAAGCAAGAAGCATCTCAAAGTTGCTAAAGCATTTAGAAAATACTTTCCCAGCTCATCTTAAGTAGATAACATTAAATGGAAAATTGTAGAACAAATTTGTCACAGTGTCTCAAGTAGAGTGGTCTTTGTGTTTGATATTTATTTTGGCATGGAAGGCACCATCAAGTAAACCATCCTTAACCTGATCCAGTCTGGAAGAGTTTGTACATAATTGCTGGTAAACAGTATCGGGCTGCTTTGCACATTGCAAAAAAACAAACTTTGTAAACTACCTTCCTTTTTATCTATGTACTTTATCTAGCATATAAGACTCTGCAATGACTCATCACTGAGAACCTTATCACTTCAGGATGATGATAATGTAATTGCAGGGCAAAGGTAATACTTGTTTTAGCTGGGACACAAGATAACCAGTAAAAAAGTAAAGATGCAATGTATACTGGTTTGAATTTAAGCAATTGCAAACTCTTCACAGAGCTCATATTTGCTGCATTCAGTTGTCCGGCATTGTAGAAATCATTGATACTTTCTCAAGTATGGCAGTTATCTAGAAGTGTGATCTATGTGCAACAGTTAAGCCACTTCACTCCAGATTTTCAGAGTCCGTATATTACTTGTTATTACTGTGATTCCTATAGCATATGTGTTGATACCCATGCAATATCCCTTTCAACACTGTGCAGCACCCATCAGTGTCATTTCAGCCTACTAATTTGTCATTACAAATGATGGCGAAAGCTGGTGATCACTAAGACACAATCAAGTGGCTGTGGCTGCACAATGGAGATCATATGCTTCACAGCCACCCTCCTCCTGCGTCTGAATTCATACAGAACAACATTTCCATCCCAATCAATTAAATCTTCATTTGTCCCCAGCCCACCCTGCCGAGGCCTGGTTGCCAGGCAGTGATGTGTAGAGTGAGAAAGACAAGGACCATTGTCACTGCATTGTCCCTGAGTTAACCGTCTCTCCCCAGACAACCATTCTGCCCGCCTGACTCGCCTATATTCTCTCGCTGCCACTCGTGTCAGATTGAGTGCACCCATCTGGCACATTATTCCCTCGTACGCCACAATGAGAGTTGGCTCAGATGCGGGGTTTCCAAATTTTCCCTGACATTTTAATTTCCCCATCAATAATTGATGCCGGCCCGGCCAGCGCCGCGGACACAATTTGCAGCCGGCAGATTTGTGGTCATTATTGATGGAGCGGGCAGGTAGGCAGCAGTGTTAATATCAGGAAATTGTTTTTCTCGCCCTTCTAAAAGCCCACATGTCTCCTGGCTGATAAATTGGTTACTCCTGAGGTACGGACAATCTACGCCGCGGTCGGGATGGCAACATTTCGGCAGCAGGAATTTCATTTGTGCACGGATCAAGTCGGGATTATGCTGCGGGTTTATCAACCAGGAGCTTTACCCTGGTGACAAGCTGCTGCAATAAATGTGCTTGTAATAGCGAAGGGATTGGACCAGCACAACTGGGCTTTCCGCAGCTATCAAGCCCAAAACAATGGGTTCATCCCAAAAACAAACAAGGGGGGAACATTTTTCTTCATCTTCATGCATGACTTGCCAGGCTGCCTCCATTCACACAATTGTTCTGTGATAGATGTAAAGAATGGAACATTTGCCAGGATTATAATGGCTTAGATAAAACTACCAAACAAAGAAAAGAATCTGCAAGTTCTTAGGATACCAGTTGGCAGTTAGTATTTCCAAATCTTTCTTCATTGAATCATTGGTGCTTTCTCAGCTTGTTGATAACCTTAGTCCCTGAACCCTTTGAAGCTCACAAGAAAAAGGACTTTGAAGCATGTCAAGGAGGTTGTTCCAAAGATACAATTGTTAAGAGCTAACATTATTAAGCAGCTTCTGACATGCTAGAAAAGTACAGATAATCCCACTACAGTGCAAATTAGTGATTACCTCATTCACATTTCCTTTTATTTCCTTTATTTTAAGATCATCTTCAAATGATACCCCAACATGGATAAAAAAATCTGAAAAGCATTTACTGTTTTCCATCTAAATCCTTCATAGGTGTACATGTCTTAGGTTTATTAGATGATACAGTTGGCATTGCTCTGAGAATTTTGGATGAGAGTTCTTAAAACTGTTTGAGAGCAAGATATAGTAAAAGGTTTCACTATATCATACGTAGGTCTTTCAGCAGCATGTATAATGTTTGTGTGTTGTTGAATGATATTGTGACTGGTTCTGACAGCCCTGAAACTTCCCCCCCTCCAGCCTGCACAAGTCCCTGTCCCAGGAAGCCAGCATGCGGGAACAGTTCAACAACACGCTGAACGTGGTGGAGGACCAGCTGGCCCAGCGCGACACCATCGTGATGCAGACACACCGGTACAGCGAGGAGCTGGCCCTGCAGCTGAAGGGCGTGCTGGAGGAGCGAGGTGCGCTGGAGGCACAGCTGCAACAGGCACGGCAGGGGCAGCAGGAGGCACAGGACAGGGCTGAAAAGTAAGAACATAACATCATGTTACTGATAGATGCATCAGAGGTGGACCAGGTAGACTGTAGCAAGACACACATATTTACAGTCAGAGCTAATCAATTAACCATGATTATTTATTGGTACGGTGTGTTGTTCCACAGTCGAATAGAAGCACACCATTCAGTTATACTGGGTACAATACTACGAGCCCCAATGAACTTGAAACCAGAATGAAAATGGGAACACATCAACTTTATCGGAGAGAAGTGCTTGAAACTGTCAAGGTACATCCCAATATTTGGTTGATGTAGCTGTGTTGTTAGTTTTTGAGCTGGCCCTCCTGTGGGGGTTATGAACCCTGTCAAACACTCCTCTGTGCTTCCTGACAAGCAGGGAACACCTCTGTGGACAAACACATCACTGCCTGTCACCACCACTCGGCCCTCTCCCACCAGATATGGACCACCGATACAAGCCTGGAATAGTCCGGTTAGGAGCGGCTCATCACAAGGCCATGAGAAAAGGCTAATTCTGGGATGGCCCTTTTGGATTGTGCTGACAAAAACAAAAAAAATATAACAACTCACTGAATAGGCCGAGTTTGACCATCCTCCATTGGGTCCACATGTACCTTGATAAAATGTAGGCAATTCTTTTTAGAACTTCTCTGCTAGCTTTATTTTAATTGGATGTTTTCCTGTGCCATATACAGTTCAAGTCACCACATTATGGCCTTTCTAAAATGCTGATGGGAGTATAAAAGGGCAAAGGTCTGACTTTGGAGGGTAGCTGTAGTAAAAATAGAGCCTCCTGCGTCATCTAAAGCATTATCTACTGCCAATACGTGTTGCTTGCTTTCTACATACTTGCTCAGGAGAGATACGGAAAAATTTCTCAACGTGAGGCATTGAAAGATTTCAGCTATCCATTTATTCTCTGTGTGTATGTGAATGGAATGGTAAAATACTGGTTTGCCAATCATGAAATCGGAATTGTATATCATTAGGTTGTTGGAAAAACTTGCCTTGGTGCCACCCCAAATTAATCATACTGTTCCACTTCGATTGAGCTTGATATGTGTGCAGTTTAAATTTGAATAGTCAAACATTCAAACTGAAGATAAGAAGTTCTCATTGAAAAATCCCTTAGCAAATTTTTCCTTCTAAACACCACAACAATTTGATAATATGATAAAAATCAGTCACAGTCAACTTTAGAGAGACAGTGCATAAGCTCGCTCCAAAGGACACTAAAAAGAAGGCCCATATTCTGCCATCTCAAGAAGAAGGAAACCTATCTGTTCCTGTAGAGATTCTCTAGTAAGTAACCGCTGTCAAGCCTTAAGGTGATAAGGTCAGCTGCAGACAACATTTGTCTTCTTAAACAACTTTACCGAGTAAGCAGTCGCAGCAGAAAGTAAAGGGATTTGATGTTTAGTCGTACATATTGTAACAAGAAAAGAACATGTCGGTACAGTTTACTTGAGCGCAGTTGACTCAAACGTAGGATAACTTTCACGATTGAGATTGATCTGCGAAGGCTTCGGAAAACACGAGCCCAGGCGCTATGTTGTGCCATGCCGACATTACATCTGGGGTGTGAGAAAACCTCACAAGGCTGACAAAGCTGTACAGAGTTTCCAATGTTCACCCCAACATGCTTCTACCAGTCTTGCGAACCTTTGTAAGTGTCCCTTAAATGAGAAATGAGACAAATTCTTTGCTGGGTGTGCATTTGGCACCTCCATGGTACATGCCCTTGGAACATCTGAAGTAATTTTCTCTGGAATCTCGCGTACAAGGCGTTCATCAAAATGGGCTCGGAACACGCCTCGCCATGGCAACTAATGAGGCCGGCAGATTCCGTCAGGGGGACAAAATGTCTGTGGCATCCCATTGCGTGCTGACCCAACATGGCTTGTGTTTCTTGGTAACATCTCACCCTGGTGCCAGCCCGCCAGCTTGGCTCCCTGTCAGCAGAAGGTCCGTCCTTGTGTGCCCACACACCAGGGTGCAAACACCGCCGCCACCAGCGCAGAGTCTCATCAGCGGAAACCCCACATTCCTGCCCGGAAACCTGACTTTGGTCCAGCTATTTCACATTTTTGTGCCAAAGCTGGACTTCAAACAGTGCTGTTAAAACGTCTACTCGTCGCTTCTTTTTGTAATAACCCCCGGGCAGGGGCACTAAAATTTTCTGCCTTACTGCATCTCCCAAAGTACTTCTTACTGTGTATTGCTTGTACTTAAACCCCGCTATATTGGTCTCTGAAGTAGAGGATATGGTAGTGACCAGTACGGGCCAGCCCAGACTGACCAACACGGTGACTCTGAGGTCACCCGGCAACAGTAATAAGATGCGATAGACACCGAATCCGTCCGCTGTCGGGAAAGTAACGGACAATGTGGTTAAATTAGTTTGTTTGAGACGCGGATATCGTGGCCATATGGTTGGGAAGTGACTAATGGCTCAGTATGGGGAACTGTTTGGAATCGATCATTCGAGTTTGGACTCCTGGGTCAACTAGAGTTTGCCCAGTTTGCAAACGACAAGTGCCCAATGCGATCAAACATGCTACCATGTTCCTCCCCTGAAAAATAATCTGTCCAAAATTCCTGCACACCTGTAATAAATGGATAGCTACCACCATGTTTTTTTGTTTAAGATGGCACACTAGTCCATTTTTCTAGCTTTGTAGAGCTTAAGTTTTCCTTAATGAGCAATATATGAATGTGGCATAACAAGTCTGCTCAGCACAAGTTTGGTGAACTTGTCATTAATAAAATTTAATCAAGACGGTTATATAAATCACTAGCCTGGACGATAATGTTGTTACGTTTCAGCTCTGGAATACCATAGTGGTTCTGGTACACCAAAATTCTGATAGAACAAATTTGACCATGCCAAAGTATTACAGAAAGTTACCAATGCGCCCATTTATTAGTTGATAGCATGTTCATTTGATTGAGTCTGATAGGGCATTGCAAACAAAGTAAAGCAAAAGCAACTTGCAATGCAACTACTTTGTCAAAAGGACATTTACAATGAGAGTGAACATAATACTTTGTTTTGTATATTTTGTGATGTATATTTTGTTTCACGGACACAAGTTCAAACTTGGTTTCTTTCAAATATAAACTGTTAATTTGAGGTCTTTTTTTATATCTTCCTGACAAAGAATATACAAATACAACAACTCGATGTGCCGTAGTTACTTTCAGAAGTCTAACACATTATTCCATTTCTGTCAGACTCTGTTGTATGCAGTAGAAATATAATAGGAGGTAGTAGCAACTTTTTTTTTTTATCTTTCTGCTACAGATTGGAAAGGCTGGTGAATGTCCTGAGGAAGAAGATCAGTGGTGGAGTTGTGAAGACTGTGAACTGAGCTGCCTACATGAGTCCAGTCTGCCGTGCTCAACACACAGCTCCACACACACTGGGACCTGCAGCTGGAGGAGTGGGGCCAAGAGAAGTTGTTCAGGAAAATGGGACCAACGTTGCAATTCCAGACACAGATTCTGCCATCCCTTTCCTTGAAGACATTCCAAGAAATGGATGGGATCTGCTTGTATAACAGTGGACTATAGAAAGCTGGGACCATCCATCAACATCAAGAGGTGTTTCTGAGAAGTAGCCAGAAGCAGCCCTGCATGTATGCCATATTTGTGTAGGCAGTCCAGAAGAACACATTTACCCTGATAGTCAGTTGTACAACTGTACTGAACTAGTGACTAAGTGTCTTGTTTAGTGAAAGGGGGTTATTTCGTGCGTATACATTTGTAAGACCAATCTTTCTAAACAAATGGTATTTAATGTAAAAAATTCTGTAAAAAGTTTGTGTCCTCCCAAATCTTTCATCAAATGTCAAGGGAGGTGGACTAGTACAGCTTAGGAAGTAGAGAACATTTTTGTTAAATATTACATACTTGTATAAATCATTTTGAGGAAGCATGACTTCAATAGCAGGCGTGTTGAGTCATACGTAGTGATCGTTATCTATATTGTATTAGATGTTAGAAGCCTAACGTAAATTACTATAATCAATCATGGTAATGTTCCGGCCAATTTTATACTTTTGTATACACACATTGTATTTTATTGTAGAAAGTTTGTGAAGTGTATAGAAGAGAATGGGGGAGGTACGGCACTGTTTGTGCCAGCTGGTAATTAAGTTAATGGTCTTTGATGTGAGAGTTCATGAGATGAGTTTATAGCTGTAATGATGATGGGGCTGTGAGCGGTGGAGATGCCTGTAAACACACTAATGCTCTAATTCTAGACTGAACGTCAACAGCGCGGGCCTGGCACCACACTGAGGAAGGAGAAGCGGAAGTCAGTCGTGACATAAGTGCAGTGTGGTGCCTGGAGTCTTATATCTGGGGAGACTTAGGACATGTCTTAACTACGTGTGTGTCCGGCACCCAAATCCTTCCTTCCTCAAACACAGTGGGTGGAGTTGGAAGGGGGGGGGAGGTGTACGCTGCAGGTGGGAGGTTTACCTGTACAGGTGCACCTCGCCTCTCCGTACCGGGGCCAGAGGTGACCTGCGGGTCATGGCGACAGGACGGTCCCAGACGCAGACAGCCGGATGATTGATTGGGAAGGAATTTGCCCGCCCCATATTATCAAGGACAGCTTATCAGTGTTCAAACAATAAAGGTAAATGAAGTCTTTTACCTGTGCGCTGTTTTCCATTATTGCTGTTAATGTTCAACCAAGTCTTTACATTGGGTAAACTCCGGCGTCATTTTGTTATTGATTGTGATAGTCCAGTGTACACCCCTGTAGCAGCCTAAGGTATATATGCTGTATAGCTCAGCCCTCTTGACATTTGTGCGGGGTTATATTTAGTTTGGTTTGCAGCAAACTTAAACCATCTAAGACGGTGGTTAAGAAATATTTTCCCTGCAGTAGAACATGATGAGGGGCATCCCTTCTGGCCTGGCGACAGCAGTTTTCTGTAACCCTACTGTTCACTTGACTCACATTATGTTGGTACATTTGATGAGATGACCAAACATGCTCTCCTGACTCAGTTTGCCTTGGGGTCTGTCTTGCTCTGAGCCAACACAGGAGTCAACACCCCATGTTTGGGCAAGTTCCCCTGCAAACAGCCTTTAGCCAAAAAATTATCAAAACAATAATTTATATGTATTGACTCTGCCCAAGCAGTGGAATTGAATGAGATTGTAAGATGGATAAGGACCACAACATTTACTCTGTACCAACACTCCTTACCTGGAAGTGACTACTCTCTGTGCGTATGTCTGAACACCGCTGAAGTGCTGTGGCCAGTCGGCACGTCTGAGGACATACGCTGTAAAAGTTGAATGCCTGTTGGAAGGCTGTCAATCTCCAAACGGTCGACTTGTCCGAGCTGGCTGATTGGTCGTTGTCTTGCCCTCAACAAGAATTTGATTTTCAAAAAGCGCTGACAGGTGGTCAGCTCGTGATGGGAATCTCCTGCTGGGCACCGTTAACTTTTTGCGCCATTTTGTTCTTTGCTTCAACGACGTACAAAATTGTTGAATATAATCGATTACATACAAGAGGTAGGAAAATAAGTCCCATTTCTTTCCACACAAAATTAGGTTTACTTCTAGTACTTTCAGACTTGCCACAAAAGCTACTGACTTTATATCTTCAGATAACTTTTAAAAAACCTTAAATTGTTAGGAGCGAGAGGAAAGACTTTCCCATAGGTCAAAACGTATTCAGTTGTCGGACAACATACTAACAAGCCAAAGCTAACAACAGACTGTATAGCGTGTAAGTCAGGTGTATATGTCTAGGAGACAGCTTTCCTTTCTGCGTGCAACACCAAACAGCGGGGGCAAACGCCATTGCGTGAACACACGCTTACCGGCAACAGAAAAAACTCAAGACAAGTCAATATACTTTGCACAGTTCGCTAGCTATCGACCACAAGAGGAAACCCCCACGCTGGAAAACCCGTGTTCTAGGCGTTAAGTGCTGCTCCGTAACGTTTTCACTTTTTTCACTACCGCCTCGGAAAGTTTTAGAGCGCCAATCGCGCCAAATGCGGTAGTATACAGCTAGCTGGGCTGTAACTTGCTTGGAGTTCAAGTGTTTTACTAGGATAGTACGAAATTCAACTTTGGCGTTATTTTGCTCAAACAGCTCACAGTGCTCTATTGGGTTTAAGATACACAGAATCTTTTCGTTTTAAAGTTACGAGTATGGGTAAATACTTTCTACGAACTCCTGGAAACTCCCATTTCACTACTTTGTGCAGTGAGGAAAACAAAGTGATAGAGATTTTAAGTAAGTTATAGAGATGTTGATGATAGGTAAGTCCGAATGTCTGCGCGTAGAAGAAATATAATTCTGATTTTACAGTTGACACTTTCCTCACGCGCTCCTTCATCCGGCCACAAAATTGTCACATGAAGCACATACATTTTGTAAGTAAACAGCCGTTGAAGTCCATTCAGAATGGGCTGAACTCCTTGAAATGAAGGGAAATTTCCTTGAAACAATTTTTAACATCACCCAAACTATACAACAACCCACGTCTATTAGCACAAAAGCTCTATACTTCAATGAGCTAGCGCGATACACCTATATATACAATGTACTAAGTATATACTAAGTACGTCACTGCCCAAACCGATATGCTCATGTATTTTTGATAACGCGTACGGACTTGCAGACTTGTCATTTTCAAGATTGACTCAAACAGGGCGTTGTGGTAAATTTCGTAAATGAAACATTTGGTTTTGCCGCTTTATAGAAGTGCGCGAAAGGATGAACGAATAATGGTTGAATACGTTTGAGTTTGTGTCTAAACCTTCCTACATTCGGTTGCAATATTCTTCTTACAACTGTTACAAGTATGTGGAATGTCTATGATATTGTTACTATTTTCTGTTCCATTTGAAATCTCTTTAATTAGTAGGGCATGTAATTTCCTGAAATGGAAGTAGCCAGGTCGAAAGGAATTGTCGCTGTTTTTCTTCACAACCATATAATGAACAGTCATCAATCGCAACACTTCGCGAAGTCTTGCTGCTGAGTCATCTATAGCGTAAAACGTGCCATGACAACATTTTACCTCCCGATGCTTGTGTCTTTATTACCGTGGTCAGTGATAGATGGTGAGATTTGTTCTGAAGTGCCGATCGGTGGCATCCATCGTCTGGTGACAACTTCGGCGTGTTTTTGAACTGCGCTGTAACACATTGTGTACTTGGCACCTCCCAAACGATCCGTCCCATTCCTTTTTATTTCTTTATTTGTTTTCAATTAGTCGGCCATCGTTCATTTCCTCCAGCGTGCTGGGTCCCAGCAGATGTTGTGCGAGGCGCAGGCGGGGGGAGGCACGGCGCTGTTCCGCACGTGTGGGTGATAATCCCGCCTGTTCACCAACAAATCTCCGGGAGAGCACGCCGAACTCTCCTGGGTGGCTGCCAGGCGTGGTGCGCTGAATATAAGCTCATCGCCAACAACATCTACTGTATCTAGACATCCCTTGTTTTGCACGGAGACAAACCAGACTGCAAGAATGACAAAAGAAGGAGAAGACAAAGCGAAAAACAAAACACACAGTAAAACATCATGAGTATCTTTTGTGGAGATGTCGGCAGGAAAGTGTCACACCTGCGAACCGGTACAGGTGAGACCAGGTAGGGGAAACGTTACATACCACAAAAATTCAACAAGAATGGCCTATTCAGCTTCCCTCATTTAGAGAAGTATCCAGTCATCAATTTTCATAATGAAAACGACAGGTTGTTGCACCTAACTTTGATACTCAGAGACGAGAAAATGATGAGTAGTTGATGACACCGGCGATAGCGATGTTTGCCCGACTTTGGTATATCCGTACTTTTTAAATCGTGCCTATGCTATCACGGTTCCCGAATTAACTTTGTATACCAGTAACCAGTTATGCGTTAGCGGAATATATGTTAACATTGAAATGTCGTTCTCATCTAAGGAGCGAAAATGGTATTGGGCCTCGCGTCACTTTTGATTGATATCATAGAAAGCGTGGACGCGGTCTGTCATCGTAGGCTTCCCTGCTAATAAGTTCTGAGGATAAAATCAAATTTCAACCAACTTAGCTTAGATTGATTTCAATGTCACTCCCAATCGAATTATTCCCCAATGATCGGTTATTTTCGGTTATGACCACCGCCAGGTCCACCGGACAGGTGACTGAAAACTATCCCGGCGGCTCTGTCAGCCGTCCGCAGGTCGTGGCGTCTAAATCTAGCGAATTGGAGCGTGGCTGTCTTTAACTTCTGGTCTTTCCTCCTCCCACAGTGGACAAGGAAAACGCATGAATAACTTCTCTGCGTTTCACGAGCAAGACCCATAGATCCGATGTGTCTGGTCTGACAGGTGTTGTAGTGAGGGGGGAGGGAAGGGTGCACGGGGGGAGAAGTTTCCTCTAGAGTAAGGGGAGAAGATGATGATTTAGCGCCACTAGGCAGTGTAAGATGTCCGTCGGTTTGTACTTGTCAGTTCGGTATGCGGATTAGGGGTCCTGAGCCTAATCACCCGTGCCATTCTTGTGTGGAAAGAGGCGTGGTGTTGGTCAGGGTGCACACACGTGCGCGCTGCCAGGAGACAGAGGGGGGAGGTAGCTCATAATACCAGGGACCTCCGCTGAGTTATATCCTTATATATATTCAGGGGTATGGATAAAGGGAGAAGTTGTCCCAGAAATTAAAGTTGTTGGGCGCAATCATACATCACTCAATGCAAACTATGTGCGTAGCAAGGAGGTTAAACCTCCATGGTGTGACTGTATATATCAAAGTTGTTCTGTTGCCATATTTTGGTCCTTTGGTTGGGTTTAATTTCTGAATGCTACCTGGGTATCAAGAACAAATATACAGACTAAGGGCTCGCACCATCTGTCCCCGTCTGACTGTCTCCCATGCCCCGATATGAGAGTGTGTATGACCGCACACGGTTATCACCCACGTGTGCTTCATCCCCGCGTTAATCACCTGGATGTGAGATGCCCCGACCCGCCGGGATCACAGGGGAATCCGCATCAGACGACACCGCGGAGAGGAGATGAGTTTCCCGCCTCCCGTTTGCTCAGGGCTGGTGGGTCATTATCACCTCTGTCTCCTCCGGTCACAAACTGGGTCGCCCGCGGGGGAGGACATTAGCATATTGGATATTTTCTGCCGTCCCAGCGGGGCAGGGGAGCATTCGGCCTGTCATCGCGGCCTGGGTACCCTCACTGCGCCGCTGACAGCTCCAGTTTGTTTCACCGCCACACTCAACTGCATAGGTTTTGTTTCAACGTGATGGTCACTTGCCTGCTTATCGTTAAACAACACAAAGTTTGCCTCAGCAATCAAACCTGTTCTTTCTCAAAATGTCTTTTCACAAATGCATTGTTTTCAAATAACGCCCAAATTGTCCGAACATAATTCTATACTCTCGTGATGATGATGATGACGTTCGTACATCGATCTCGATGAAGATCCTGGCTTCAGATGCTCTAGTGAGTCCGGGTGCGGCTAATGAGACCAATCCTTATACACACTTGTACATGTACATTGCACTTGAGACCAGGTGCTGGATTTGCAGACGGGTTTACTTTCATATTCAACAAAATCACCCTCATCTCATCTGTATCTTGATTCAGATTTCAACACATTCTTTAAATTGTACATTACTCATTAGTGTC